ACCGGGAAAACTGACAGACCGGACAAACTGACAGACCGGACAAACTGACAGACCGGGAAAACTGACAGACCGGGAAAACTGACAGACCGGGAAAACTGACAGACCCGGACAAACTGACAGACCGGGAAAACTGACAGACCTGGAAAAACTGACAGACCGGGAAAACTGACAGACCGGGAAACTGACAGACCGGGAAAACTGACAGACCGGGAAAACTGACAGACCAGACAATTCATAGCGAAGGTACAGCTGCCTGTCAAAACTGTCTAACTGTGGCCAATCAACAAGCAGAACTGTCTAATTGTGTCCAATCAACATGCAGAACGGACTGTGGCGAATCATCAAGCAGAACTGTCTAACTGTGGCTAACCTTTAACGTAGCAGGCGTAAAAGAAAGGCCTGAAACTAGATCCCCTACATACTGGTCTTAACTAGAAGAAAAAATAACTGTTGGGGGAGGTTCTCTTCTGCACTGTTCAACCAATCCAGTAAATGTGGAGGAGGAGTTAAGATGGAGTGTCTCCTTGTTAATGTCCAAAAGCGGAAGTAGCGTCACAGGCTCTCTTTCCATTTCCCCCTGAAAACCAGAACATCCGGTTGTTGGGGACTCGGAAGAGACTAATCGACAAGCAGAACTGTCTAACTGTGGCTAATCGACAAGCAAAATGGACTGTGGCCAATCAACAAGCAGAACTGTCTAACTGGCTAATCAACAAGCAGGACTGTCTAACTGGCTAATCAACAAGCAGGACTGTCTAACTGGCTAATCAACAAGCAGGACTGTCTAACTGGCTAATCAACAAGCAGGACTGTAACTGGATAATCAACAAGCAGGACTGTCTAACTGGCTAATCAACAAGCAGGACTGTCTAACTGGCTAATCAACAAGCAGGACTGTCTAACTGGCTAATCAACAAGCAGGACTGTAACTGGATAATCAACAAGCAGGACTGTCTAACTGGCTAATCAACAAGCAGGACTGTCTAACTGGCTAATCAACAAGCAGGACTGTCTAACTGGCTAATCAACAAGCAGGACTGTAACTGGCTAATCAACAAGCAGGACTGTCTAGCTGGCTAATCAACAAGCAGGACTGTCTAACTGGCTAATCAACAAGCAGGGATGTCTAACTGGCTAATCCCAAGCAGGACTGTCTAACTGGCTAATCAACAAGCAGGACTGTCTAACTGGCTAATCAACAAGCAGGACTGTCTAACGGGCTGATCAACAGCGGGACTGTCAACTGGCTAATCAACAAGCAGGACTTCTAACTGGATAATCAACAACAGGACTGTCTAACGGGCTAATCAACAAGCAGGACTGAAACTGGCTAATCAACAAGCAGGACTGTCTAACTGGCTAATCAACAAGCGGGACTGTCTAATCAAAAAGCAGGACTGTCAACGGGCTAATCACAAGCATGACTGAAACTGGCTAATCAAAACAGGACTGTCTAACTGGCTAATCAACAAGCAGGACTGTCTAACGGGCTAATAAACAAGCAGGACTGAAACTGGATAATCAACAAGCAGGACTGTCTAACTGGCTGATCACAAGCAGGACTGCTAACTGGCTATCAACAAGCAGGACTGTCTAACTGGCTAATCACAGCAGGACTGTCAACTGGCTAATCAACAAGCAGGACTGTAACTGGCTAATCAACAAGCAGGACTGTCTAACTGGCTAATCAACAAGCAGGACTGTAACTGGATAATCAACTAGCAGAACTGTCTAACTGGCTAATCAACAAGCAGGACTGTCTAACTGGCTAATCAACAAGCAGGACTGTAACTGGCTAATCAACAAGCAGGACTGTCTAACTGTGGCCAATCGACAAGCAGGACTGTCTAACTGGCTAATCAACAAGCAGGACTGTCTAACTGGCTAATCAACAAGCAGGACTGTCTAACTGGCTAATCAACAAGCAGGACAGTAACTGGCTAATCAACAAGCAGGACTGTCTAACTGGCTGATCACCAAGCAGGACTGTCTAACTGTGGCCAATCAACAAGCTCTAGAGAACTGACCTAGGATCAGCATTATGTCCAGTGCATTTCTTTTAGTAAATGTTTATTTGTAACTCCATAGACAGTGTGTAGCAGGACAGGACTGGAGTCCCTAATCATCAACCAATCCTGCTTCAGGTTCTTCTACACTTCTGGGAATGTTATCCATAATAAGACTGTTTTAACAAGCGGAACAGCAGCGGTTATTTCCGGTTTGTTTCTGAAAGTTAAAGCTGGCTAGCTGAACGACCCTGTTGTGTAGTGTAACCCTCAGGTGTGGACTGGAGAAGTGTCTGTTGTGTATTAAAAAGACATGATCGTGTCCTGGTCCTTCACCTGTCCTTCTTTACCCGATGTGTTCATCTTGGCCACTGTCATGGGTGATCTAGGATCAGCTTGCCATCCACCGGGCCTAACCTTAGCTGTTAGGGGTGGGAAAAAGGGGCAGGAACTGTCCTTTAAGATCAGTTCATGTTGCCTCTGGTGTCTGCCTATCTATAATACTGTATCAGCTTGGTTCTGATCAATAACCCTCCACAGACCAGCTGCTAGGGAGACCCCCCGGGCTGTTTCACTGCTAAGCTCTTCCTTCCCCCAGGATAACAGCTCCCAGCCAGCACTGGGCTTGGCAGAACGGATCTGGTGAACAAAGGTGACTTTACCGCTAGTGTTCAATCGATCTCTATGCTATAACGGTTCATAAGGGATTGGAATGGAGTGGGTTGATAATGTAGTGCTGTCCCCTCTGCTCAGTAGGCTTTGTGTTTATAATGGAGGCAGGGGGGACAGGAGTCTCACCCCAACCACCCGTAGCTACCAGTAACACCCACCTGGGGGACGACACCCAGGGCACTTTATGGCCAATAGAAGGCTCTGATGCCACGCGCACCCAACGCACGGCAGCCATTTTAAACCAGAACGTCCACCTAGCACACGTCAGCTGACAGGTAGCATCCTCATTAGATATCCACCCAACGCACGGCAGCCATTTTAAACCAGAACGTCCACCTAGCACACGTCAGCTGACAGGTAGCATCCTCATTAGACATCCACCCAACGCACGGCAGCCATTTTAAACCAGAACGTCCACCAGCACACGTCAGCTGACAGGTAGCATCCTCGTTAGACATCCACCCCAGCACCAGCCTTGACCCCTCTCTCCCCCAACACTCCCCCCTCACAGAGAAGGACCTGCACAGTGTGTTATAAGAAGCTATGACGTGTTATAAGAAGCTATGACATGTTATAAGGAGCTATGACGTGTTATAAAGATCTGTGTTCTAAGCTGTGACGTGGTATAAGAAGCTATGACGTGTTATAAAGAGCTATGACGTGCTATAAGCGTTCACACAAAGGTTCATATTCCAATGCATATTTAATAAACAATGGATGAGTGGATGAAGACGGGTTTCTGTGAACTTTTTTTCTAAATCATTTGAATGAACACCAGATGGAGACAAGTCAAGGTAGGCAGCATTCTATTAATGTTGTATTTACGGCTGTAGGCCTCCTGTATTCTATGGTCAAGAGCCCCCATTGTCAACTGGCGGACTGCGGACTGGATATGGACCCAGAATGGGGTCAATACGGACTGCGGGCCCCCCGCCCCCAAAAAAAGAAGTTGGGCTTCAACCCTGGCATCATATAAACACACACAAGACATGGAAGAATATGTAGAATTGCAGGAAATTAGCTTTAAAACGTCAAAGAAAATTCTTCCCCATGCAAAATGTGTAGAATTGCGGGAAATTTGCTTTTAAAACTGCAAGATTTTCTCTCCGCCAACGAGAGGGGTGTGAACAGTTTGGGGTCGCATGGGGGTTGCGATGTGGGGGTTTATTACTACGCCGATGAAATGATATTATCCATACGGACCTTTGCCACCTAGGAAATTTGTGTGACCGAACGTTCTCAAATAGTACTTGAGTAACCCTGGCCAAGAAGATCATCAAGGACCTCAGCCACCCGAGCCACGGCCTGTCCACCCCGCTACCATCTAGAAGATCAAGACCCTGCACTGTTTGAGCTAGATACATAAGCATTTTGCTGCACCTGCGATAACATCTGCAAGGTATGTGTACACGTGAAATGTGATTGTCATTTTGAAAGGCCCTGTTATTCCGTAATATTCGGAATGTGTTGCACTGGCTGCTTTGATCCACTAGGGGGCAACGTAACACCTGTCTATGGCCGGACTGGAGTCCTGTTGGCTAAAGGGAGTCATATCAGGACGGTAGAAGAAGTCAAAAGCATGCGCTGACGCACAAATGTTTGCAGAGGTGCTGACTAACGAAGATGGAACTGTATGAAAAGAAAGAAAGGGCTCTATTCAAATCTGTATGCCTGAAGCGTTACAGATTGCGAGATGGATATTGAAAGGAAATTCACGATTCGAGCCAACATATGCAGCGTTTACCGTGAATGCAGTTTCCGCTAACGCGGGAACATTGCCTTTTAAATTACAATCAGGCTGTAAGGCTGATTTTTTTCCGCAATACGGATTTAATAGAGTCCAGTCTCCCGCGTGTTTCTTTTTCCCAACGCAGTTAAGCACAAAACCACGCCCCGTTATTCATTTACGTCATTTAGCAGACGCTCTTATCCAGAGTGACTTCCAGTTAGTGAGTGCATACATTTTCATACTGTTTATTTTCAGGGTTTCAATGAGTTGTAAAAATGTATCTGAGTCTCTCTGCTGAATTCCCTCAATGGAAGGTCGGCTGAGTTAACCTAGGCTACTTAGCGTTACTAGCTCGGCTTTTAAAGTTCTTTATAGTATCATTAGTAGTCTATTATCAGGTAAAAGCATACGCTTATTTATTCGTGAATCTCTCAAATATTTATTAGCTAATCATTTCTATAAAATTGTTTAAGTTGCTCTGATTTTCAAGGTAATGATTGAAGTGAGTAAAATGATATTTTCGTCAGCGGGATAGAGCAAATGTAAGGTATGCAGACTGATAATAAATACAATACACCTCGTGTTTAGGCTGATTACAGGTGCCCCCCCCCCCCCCCCCCCCCACTGCAGACGACAAGGGAACATAAAAAAAACACTTGCTGTCCATCCAAAATGAGAATCACTCTGATACGCCGTGTCACCAGAAAGGGGGAGGCTGAGGAGAATGGTGTGAATGGTTTATTGACATATACAAGCCTGCCCATTGTGGTTAATCATTCTCCAACTTTGATTTAGCTGAAGACAATGAAATGTTTGTTCTAGGAAGCGAGGACCCACATCTTTCCCCGGTGTATCCGGTCCGATGTCCACAACCACGATCACTTCAACCCCCAGGGATGTTGGGGCCAAAGCCACAGAGACCTTGTCAAGGCTGTTTGAGACTGGGCACTCCCCTTCATCAGCTTTGGATGGAACATGGGGGGATAATGACATATTTGCCTCTGCAAATAGAGCTCTCTGTCCAGACACCGGGACGTATGCCTTATTCCCAGCACCAACATCATCTTCTCTCTTTCTTAAACATATTTAAAGGTCATTTAGATTGGCCTGTGTGCTCTCTATGGCAGTGGGAACTGTTTTTACACAGATACAGTACTATATGAGGCTATATATACAATACTATATGATACTATATATACAGTACTATATGAGGCTATATATACAGTACTATATGAGACTATATATACAGTACTATATGAGGCTATATATACAGTACTATATGAGGCTATATATAAAGTACTATATGAGGCTATATATACAGTACTATATGAGGACTATATATACAGTACTATATGAGGCTATATATACAGTACTATATGAGGCTATATATACAGTACTATATGAGGCTATATATACAGTACTATATGAGGCTATATATAAAGTACTATATGAGGCTATATATACACTATATGAGGCTATATATACAGTACTATATGGGCTATATATACAGTACTATATGAGACTATATATACATTACTATATGAGGCATATATACAGTACTATATGAGGCATATATAAAGTACTATATGAGGCTATATACAGTAATAACATACTATATGAGGCTATATATACAGTACTATATGAGACTATATATACAGTACTATATGAGGCTATATATACAGTACTATATGAGACTATATATACAGTACTATATGAGGCTATATATACAGTACTATATGAGACTATATACAGTACTATATGAGGCTAATATACATACATATGAGAACTATATATACATTACTATATGAGGCTATATATACAGTACTATATGAGGCTATATATACACTATGAGGCTATATACAGTACTATATGAGGCTATATATACAGTACTATATGAGGCTATTTATACAGTACTATATGAGGCTATATATACAGTAATATATGAGGCTATATATACAGTACTATATGAGGCTATATATACAGTACTATATGAGGCTATATATACAGTACTATATGAGGCTATATATACAGTAATATATGAGGCTATATATACAGTACTATATGAGGCTATATATACAGTACTATATGAGGCTATATATACAGTACTATATGAGACTATATATACAGTACTATATGAGGCTATATATACAGTACTATATGAGACTATATATACAGTACTATATGAGGCTATATATACAGTACTATATGAGGCTATATATACACTATATGAGGCTATATATACAGTACTATATGAGGCTATATATACAGTACTATATGAGGCTATATATACAGTACTATATGAGGCTATATATACAGTAATATATGAGGCTATATATACAGTACTATATGAGGCTATATATACAGTACTATATGAGGCTATATATACAGTACTATATGAGGCTATATATACAGTAATATATGAGGCTATATATACAGTACTATATGAGGCTATATATACAGTACTATATGAGACTATATATACAGTACTATATGAGGGTATATATACACTATATGAGGCTATATATACAGTACTATATGAGGCTATATATACAGTACTATATGAGGCTATATATACAGTACTATATGAGACTATATATACAGTACTATATGAGTCTATATATACAGTAGTGAGTGAGACCAGTGTTTTTGCTGTGGACTCACAGGGGATGGTTCCGTGTGTGAGAAATGCTGCTCCCTAGAGAAATGATCAAAGCCATTCATGATACACACGTTTCAGATACATTGGTCTCACCCACATACATCTCATATATTATCTGTGTTTAGGAAAGTGGCGATAACAGTGTATTTTCACATCATATACAGTGTAAGATTGCAAATCCTGGGAAACTACAGAGCCAAAATTAAATGTTTAAAAAATAAGCTTCTGTAGAATATATATTTTTTTAAGAGACAAGGTTTATTTGACATTTTCACCATGTATTTGGCACAGATTGTATCAGAAAGCCCTTTAAAAAGAGAGAAAGAGTATGGAGAGCGGAGTGGGCCTTTCATGACGTCAGCACTAGAGAGGCAGATAGATCTAAACGCAGCAACACCTGTGATAGCAAACATCTTCAGGTGGAACTCCTCTCGTGGCCATATGCTCCCCCCCCCCCCCCTTTACGAAACGGGTCCATCAGCTAAAAACACAGTGGGGAGCCATGTTTCATCGATTCGTCCGGAAACATCCGGACAGAGAGAACTGCAGAGTGTGTTGTTTTACTATTGACGCACACATGTGCAGGTGGTCTTTCCTCTTCGGATCATCTTTCCACCCAGTCAGAAGATGAGGCCACCCATTTTTTTTGAGGGCCTTCAGCGCTCCTGAAGGAGATATTGGGCGGAGGATGCATTTGCTGGGAGAGGTCAGAGGTCAGGCAGTGGCCCCGACGACTGCGAGGCAGAGAGAGGAGCATTAGGCCTTCCCCCGGAGGCAACCCCCCTCCTCCTCTGTGTTTTTCACCTGCTCCAAGCAGTCTGGAGGTGGCTATGGAGCAAAGAGCATGGCGTTGAGATGAAGGACAGACGGGCCCTCTTTAGCATTGTCAAGGACATGCTTTATGCTAAGATGGGATATGGGCAAGGTGAAACACACTCCCATCATCTGGCCGTTGTCAAACCCAGTTGCAGTCAGGTCAGTGCAGAGGAAAGTTATGTCAGTGTAGAATAACAAGAACAAGACCTTAAATTGTCCTCCTCACATGATGTAACGTGAGGCGGCAGGTGGCTTAGTGGTTAAGAGCGTTGTGCCCAGTAACCGAAAGGTCGCTGGTTCTAATCCCCCGAGCCGACTAGGTGAAAAATCTGTCGATGTGCCCCTTGAGCAAGGCACTTAACCCTAATTGCTCTGGATAAGAGCGTCTGCTAAATGACTAAAAATGTAATGTAACAAAAGTGAACTCTTCAATACTGGTATTCACAGAACAGAATTGTTTTACCTGCACAAATGTGAGGCAATACATGTCAGTTGCTTTTATGTGTGTTCATTGAACAATTGCAGGTACAGCAAATTCCTGGCTTACCTGGAGAAACTCTACGGTCGTAGGTGAGTGTTGGGCCCTGAGTTTCAGAGAGGACATGCTTACCCGTGGATACAGATATTATTCTACTGTACCTGATAGTATGACCGTGTTTGTTTTGGATACCGATATTATTCTACTGTACCTGATAGCATGGCCCTGTTTGTTTTGGATACAGATATTATTCTACTGTACCTGATAGTATGACCGTGTTTGTTTTGGATACAGATATTATGCTACTGTACCTGATAGTATGACCGTGTTTGTTTTGGATACAGATATTATTCTACTGTACCTGATAGCATGGCCCTGTTTGTTTTGGATCGCCCGGTTGGGCGAAGCGTGCACATTTTAGACCGCCCCACATGGTCCTGAAGTGAAATCTTCGCCAAAACCCAGTGACGCAAAAACAAACTCCCCCCCCTATGATACATGGTCTAGGCAGGGTGATCTCTGATAGGCCAGAGAGGAATGTAATCTGTACTCAATGTAAGAATGTAGTTCTGTCATCTCCGTCTGCAGACATCCTGATGAAGCTGTTTTCAGCTAGAAACACGGAACAGAAACCTGATATAAAGGAAGTACGTTTCAACAGCACAGACGGATATAACCCTGATTTAACCTGTATCTGACAAACATCACCATTACGTTGGTACTGTGTAGAGTAGACTGGGGGGGTCCAGTTCTTTAACCAACTCCTCTGTCTATATCTGGTACTGTGTAGAGTAGTCTGGGGGGGTCCAGTTCTTTAACCAACTCCTCTGTCTATATCTGGTACTGTGTAGAGTAGTCTGGGGGGGGTCCAGTTCTTTAACCAACTCCTCTGTCTATATCTGGTACTGTGTAGAGTAGTCTGGGGGGGGGGTCCAGTTCTTTAACCACTCCTCTGTCTATATCTGGTACTGTGTAGAGTAGTCTGGGGGGGGGGGGGGGGTCCAGTTCTTTACCAACTCCTCTGTCTATATCTGGTACTGTGTAGAGTAGTCTGGGGGGGGGGGGGGGTCCAGTTCTTTAAACCAACTCCTCTGTCTATATCTGGTACTGTGTAGAGTAGTCTGGGGGGGGGGGGTCCAGTTCTTTAACCAACTCCTCTGTCTATATCTGGTACTGTGTAGAGTAGTCTGGGGGGGGGGGGTCCAGTTCTTTAACCAACTCCTCTGTCTATATCTGGTACTGTGTAGAGTAGTCTGGGGGGGGGGGGGGGGGTCCAGTTCTTTAACCAACTCCTCTGTCTATATCTGGTACTGTGTAGAGTAGTCCTGGGGGGGGGGGGGGGGGGGGGGGGGGGGGGGGGGGTCCAGTTCTTTAACCAACTCCTCTGTCTATATCTGGTACTGTGTAGAGTAGTCTGGGGGGTCCAGTTCTTTAAACCAACTCCTCTGTCTATATCTGGTACTGTGTAGAGTAGTCTGGGGGGGGGGGGGGTCCAGTTCTTTAACCAACTCTCTGTCTATATCTGGTACTGTGTAGAGTAGTCTGGGGTGGGGGGGGGGTTCCAGTTTCTTTAACCAACTCCTCTGTCTATATCTGGTACTGTGTAGAGTAAGTCTGGGGGGGGTCCAGTTTCTTTAACCAACTCCTCTGTCTATACTGGTACTGTGTAGAGTAGTCTGGGGGGGTCCAGTTCTTTAACCAACTCCTCTGTCTATATCTGGTACTGTGTAGAGTAGTCTGGGGGGTCCAGTTCTTTAAACCAACTCCTCTGTCTATATCTGGTACTGTGTAGAGTAGTCTGGGGGGGTCCAGTTCTTTAACCAACTCCTCTGTCTATATCTGGTACTGTGTAGAGTAGTCTGGGGGGGTGGTCCAGTTCTTTAAACCAACTCCTCTGTCTATATCTGGTACTGTGTAGAGTAGTCTGGGGGGGGGGGTCCAGTTCTTTAACCAACTCCTCTGTCTATATCTGGTACTGTGTAGAGTAGTCTGGGGGGGGGGGTCCAGTTTCTTTAACCAACTCCTCTGTCTATATCTGGTACTGTGTAGAGTAGTCTGGGGGGGGTCCAGTTCTTTAACCAACTCCTCTGTCTATATCTGGTACTGTGTAGAGTAGTCTGGGGGGGTCCAGTTCTTTAACCAACTCCTCTGTCTATATCTGGTACTGTGTAGAGTAGTCTGGGGGGGGGTCCAGTTCTTTAACCAACTCCTCTGTCTATATCTGGTACTGTGTAGAGTAGTCTGGGGGGGGGGGGGGGGGTCCAGTTCTTTAACCAACTCCTCTGTCTATATCTGGTACTGTGTAGAGTAGTCTGGGGGGGTCCAGTTCTTTAACCAACTCCTCTGTCTATATCTGGTACTGTGTAGAGTAGTCTGGGGGGGGGGGTCCAGTTCTTTAACCAACTCCTCTGTCTATATCTGGTACTGTGTAGAGTAGTCTGGGGGGGGGGGTCCAGTTCTTTAACCAACTCCTCTGTCTATATCTGGTACTGTGTAGAGTAGTCTGGGGAGGGGTCCAGTTCTTTAACCAACTCCTCTGTCTATATCTGGTACTGTGTAGAGTAGTCTGGGGGGGGGTCCAGTTCTTTAACCAACTCCTCTGTCTATATCTGGTACTGTGTAGAGTAGTCTGGGGGGGGGGTCCAGTTCTTTAACCAACTCCTCTGTCTATATCTGGTACTGTGTAGAGTAGTCTGGGGGGGGTCCAGTTCTTTAACCAACTCCTCTGTCTATATCTGGTACTGTGTAGAGTAGTCTGGGGGGGTCCAGTTCTTTAACCAACTCCTCTGTCTATATCTGGTACTGTGTAGAGTAGTCTGGGGGGGTCCAGTTCTTTAACCAACTCCTCTGCCTATCTCAACATTTTTATTTTTCAGTGCAAACTTAATATAATGATCCAGTGCAAAAAAATGTTCCACAGACACAGACACACAGAATGAAGTTAGACTAGTATAAAAAATACATTCAAATACATTCAAATGTCAGTGCAAATAAAAAAGGTACCCTGCAGACCATTAAGGAACCATAACACACATACAGTGGTGTCCAGGAACACAGACAGAACAGGGGTGTCCAGGGAACACAGACAGAACAGTGGTGTCCAGGGAACACAGACAGAACAGGGGTGTCCAGGAACACAGACATAACAGTTGGTGTCATGGAACACAGACAGAACAGGGTGTCCAGGGAACACAGTACAGAACAGTGGTGTCCAGGGAACACAGACAGAACAGGGGTGTCCCAGGGAACACAGACATAACAGTGTGTCCCAGGGAACACAGAACAGAACAATTGGTGTCCCCAGGGAACACAGACAGAACATTGGTGTCCCCATGGAACACAGACAGAACAGTGGTGTCCCAGGGAACACAGACAGAACAGGGGTGTCCAGGGAACACAGACAGAACAGTGGTGTCCAGGGAACACAGACAGAACAGTGGTGTCCAGGGAACACAGACAGAACAGTGGTGTCCAGGGAACACAGACAGAACAGGGGTGTCCAGGGAACACAGACAGAACAGGGGTGTCCAGGGAACACAGACAGAACAGTGGTGTCCCAGGGAACACAGACAGAACAGTGGTGTCCCAGGGAACACAGACAGAACAGTGGTGTCCAGGGAACACAGACAGAACAGGGGTGTCCCAGGGAACACAGACAGAACAGTGGTGTCCAGGGAACACAGACAGAACAGGGGGTGTCCAGGGAACACAGACAGAACAGTGGTGTCCAGGGAACACAGACAGAACAGTGGTGTCCAGGGAACACAGACAGAACAGGGTGTCCAGGGAACACAGACAGAACAGTGGTGTCCAGGGAACACAGACAGAACAGTGGTGTCCAGGGAACACAGACAGAACAGTGGTGTCCAGGGAACACAGACAGAACAGTGGTGTCCAGGGAACACAGACAGAACAGTGGTGTCCAGGAACACAGACAGAACAGTGGTGTCCAGGGAACACAGACAGAACAGTGGTGTCCAGGGAACACAGACAGAACAGTGGTGTCCAGGACCACAGACAGAACAGGGGTGTCCAGGGAACACAGACAGAACAGTGGTGTCCAGGGAACACAGACAGAACAGTGGTGTCCAGGGAACACAGACAGAACAGGGGTGTCCAGGGAACACAGACAGAACAGTGGTGTCCAGGGAACACAGACAGAACAGTGGTGTCCAGGGAACACAGACAGAACAGTGGTGTCCAGGGAACACAGACAGAACAGTGGTGTCCAGGGAACACAGACAGAACAGTGGTGTCCAGGAACACAGACAGAACAGTGGTGTCCAGGGAACACAGACAGAACAGTGGTGTCCAGGGAACACAGACAGAACAGTGGTGTCCAGGACCACAGATAGAACAGCACTGAATGAGAATTCTAGAATGGCCATCAACCTTCTTATGATTGGATAAAGGTCAGCCATTTTGGTCAGGGAGTTGTTCAACCATGGTTTGCCAGTGCTGTGATAAGATATTGTATAAAATAATGAATTTGAAGAATTTATCTGCACTGTAAGTTTGTTAGCTAGCTAGCCAGTTAGTTTCAGAGGAATGATTCCATTAATATGTCAAATTAACTGCCAACATTCAATTTAAACAACACATTCAATCCACAGCCATACCCTGTCTGAAATCAGTTAATGATAGGACTAAGACAAGTTGTAAAAGCAACAAGTACTGATATTGTGTCATATAATAGCACTCACAGCTTTCCAAGAAAAATTAAATTGAGATATTTGTGGTCTGTTTATATATATTTTAGAGGTTATTTATACAGCAAATGTGTATAAACCCCGTATAAACTGTATTTATAATTATATGACAATATTTTAGGTTGACAATAATTCTATCACACAATTTCTGATACATCACGTCTAACTTTTATTGTCCTGCATAGTAAAAATCGGGATTCTGCCTCTACTGCCATTCATACCAATTAGACTGGTTTGGATTTCTCCCTGACCAAGATGGCTGCCATTTTCACCCCAATTTCTGGAACCTTGAGGGTTTATGACAAAGCCCCCTCTAGTCATTTAAATAGGATCTCTATGCAGAACAGTGCATATAACCAATAGCAAACCCTGAGAACAGCTTCAAGGGAAAGTTTTTTTAAATAATATATGGCTCCACTCGAATCCTGCATGGCTGAACCCCATAGACCGTGTTCTAGAGTGGGTTTGTTTCCCTATCCTTGATGGTAAGACACAGTTCTAGAACAGAAAAAATGTTCTAGGAGTGACTGTATCCTCTGGGGTTCTGTTAGAAACAACATTTGAACAATGTTCTAGAGCAGCTGAATCCGTGGATCCTGTTGTTGCAGTCTCTCTAACACCCCGTAGGGAATACACGCGTTCCACCACGAAGTAGAGGAAGGGGGTGGAGGTGGAAGACGAGATACAGAGCCCATCTAGAGGGGAGAAGAGGGGGAGATAGATGGGGAGAGAGAAGAGGATAAGAGTTGGGGAGGTAGAGATATGATTAGATATATTAATGGAAAATAATTGCCTTATATATTATATATAATATGGTAGTTCTCTAGCTATATCTTACCTTGATCTTCCTCCTCTTCCTCATCTCTCTCTTCTCCGTCTTCCTCTCTCTTCTCTCTCGTCTATTCTTCTCTTTCCTCTCTCTTCTCTCTCTTTGCTCCGTTCTCTTCTCTCTTTTCTCCTTCTCTCCTCTCTCCTCTCTCTCGCTCCGCTCTCTCCTCTCTCCTCTCCCTGTTCCCCCATTATTACCCGTGTCAATTACTTGGCATTTTTTTTTTACTGTGAAACCCAGCCTTTGTTTTCATGTTTTCTTCTATTCTACAGTTATTGGAGTTTTAAAATGCAAATTTTTATTAAAAATCAAAAATTTGATTTTCTGGTTTTTTTGTTTTAGATTCCTCTCCACGTTGAAGTGCCCTTTGATAAAAAATTAAGCCCTCTACTGCTCTGTAAGTAAAAAACCCTGCAAAATCGGCAGTGTATCAAATCTTTTTCTCCCCCCTGTATATGTTACTTATATGTTTGAAATTAGCTATTGATCCATGGAGTTCCTCCTATACGTTATCATGAATGATTTATTAGACCCCGGGGCCAGGATTTTCCTCCTTCTTATCATAAATATGATTGATTAGACCCCTGATCCGGGGTTTCCCTCCTACTTTATCATATAGTTTTTATTAACTCCTGACCCTGGATTTCCTCCATACGTTTCATGTTATTGTTTTAGACCCCTGATCCATGGATTTCCTCCATACTTTATCATGATAGATTATATTAACTCCTATCCTGGATTCCTCCTATCTGTTATATGATTGATTGAAATTAGACCCCTTTGTCCATGGATTCCCCCTTTAACTTTATCATGATAGATTGTTTAGATCCTGCCATGGATTTTTCCCTATCTGTTATCATGATATGATTGTATTAGATGAGGGTCCTACCCCAGACCTTGACCACGACCCCCTCAACGGGAAGCCAACTCTGGCCCCCAGGCTTAAACCTGTTGTACTTTACACTGCAGACAACATGGGGGGGGGGGGGGGGACGACACTGAGTCAAACCGTAGTAGTTCTGAACCCGGAGTATTGCCCCCACGTACTGACCCATTGGGATCTACCCTTTTCCGAGTCATGTTTGTTTTTAAAAAATGGTTTCAGACTTACTCCAGGTCGCTGAGTGATGTCATCTGAGGTAAAACAGCAGCCAGACTGTCAGCACCCCCGTCTGATATCACATTACTGTACGATAAAAAACGGTTTTTAGACCATAGTTTACAGCGGACAGGTTTAGACCTCAAAAATTTACGCGGGAAAACAAAAGGATTAGCCCAAATCAATCAGACTGGAAAGGATTGACTTTTTAAATTTACATTTTACTTTTTAGTCTTTTACAACCTTTTAAAACCAGAGCGACTTACGGACATTAGGGAAAAGTCCTTCCCAAGGGCCATTAACGTCATTTAAAACGCTCTTACCAAGGACTCCAAAAATTTGTGCGTTCACCCTATGGGGCCAGGGGGATAACCACTTTACAATTTGGGGGGGGGGGGGGGGGGGGGGGGTTAGAAAAATACTTAGCCTACCCAGTATTCCTTAAAGAGGGGGGGTTTCAATGTCCCGGGAGGGGGTTAGTACCCCTGTCGGCGTCGTGAGGAGCTTGTTCCACCCCATTGGGTCCAAGCAGCGAACAGTTTTATGGGCTGGGGGGACGGGGCTTCCGGGGGAAGGGGACCAGCGGGCCCAAAGGGTGGAAAAACCATGTCCTCGTTTGGGGGGAAGGGACTGATCAAGCCTGAAGGTAGGGGGTGCCGTTCCCCCCCTGCTCCAAAAGGAAAGCACCAGGTTTGTAGTAGGTGCGAGCTTCAACTGGGAAACCAGTGGGGGGTGGGAGGGAAGGGGGGGGGGGACTTTAGAGAACTTGGGAAGGTTTAACACCAAAGGCTGGGGATTCGGAGATTGTGGGTTTTTTAAAGGGCCCCCCGGGGGGGGCCCCCGCCAAAACCCATTTTCAGTAGTCCGAGGGGAATGACAAATGCTGGACGGACCTGCGCCCTTCCTTTTAAAGGAGGGGCGCACTCTCCGAATGTTGTAGACCATCAGTTCAGACTGGACATGACAGGATTTGACCACGAACAGACTGGAAATAGACAGGGTTGACCATCGATTTCAGACTGGAAATAACAGGGTTAAACCCTCAGATTACAGACTGGACGGATTAGACCCTCAATTACAGACTGGGCAACAGACAGGATTTGACCATCAATTACAGACTGGACAAAAAGACAGGATTAACCATCAGATTCAGACTGGACAATAGACGGATTAGACCCTCAATTACAGACGGACAATAGACAAATTTGACCCCCAATTACGCTGGCAGGATTAGACCATCAATTTCAGATGGAAAAAAACAGGGTTAACCTCGATTACAGACTGGACGGATTAACCATCAGATTACAGACTGGAAAAGACAGGATGACCATCAATTTCGACTGGCAATAAACAGATTAGACCATCAATTAAGACTGGACAGGGTTAGACCATCAATTACAGACTGGAAACAAAGGGTTAGACCATCAATTAAGACTGGACAAAGACAGGATTTGACCATCGGGTTACAGACGGACACGACAGGGTTGACCATCAATTACGACTGGGCAACAACGGGGTTAAACCTCAATACGCTGGACAACAGACAGGATTAGACCATCAGATTACAGATGGAAATAAACAGGTTAGACCATCGGATTACAGACCCGGGCAGGAAGACCCCTCAGATTACAATGGACATAGACAGGATTAGACCCTCAGTTCAGACTACATAGACAGGATTAGACCATCAGATTACAGACTGGACAACAGACAGGGTTAGACCATCAGATTACAGACTACAACGACAGGATTAGACCCCGATTAAGACTGGCAATAACAGGATTTACCCCTCAATTACGACTGGACAAAGACAGGATTAGACCATCAGATTCGCTGGGCATAGACAGGGTTTGACCACAGATTACAGACTGGCAAAAACAGGAAGACCACAATTACGACTGGACAATAGACAGGGTTAGACCTCAGATTACAGACTGGACAATAGACAGGATTAGACCATCAGATTACAGACTGGACAATAGACAGGATTAGACCATCAGATTACAGACTGGACAATAGACAGGATTAACCCCGATTTCAGACGGACAATGACAGGATTAACCCTCGATTTCAGACTGGCAATAGCTGGATTGACCCTCAATTTCAGCGGACAATAGACAGGATTAGACCATCAGATTACAGACTGGACAATAGACAGTTAGACCATCGATTCAGAGGACAAATAACGGGTTGACCATCAGATTTCAGACTGGGCATAAAAGGATTGACCCTCAATTACAGCTGGACAATAGACAGGATTAGACCATCAGATAAGACTGGACAAAAAGACGATTGACCATCGGATTCAGACTGGCAACGACAGGTTAACCTCAATTTTAAAAGGACAATAGACGGGTTAACCCACAGATTACAACTGGGCAAAAGCAGGATTAGACCATCGATTACAGCTGGACAAAAACAGGATTAAACCCTCAATTTTAGACTGGACAAAAAGCAGGGTTAACCTCAGATTACAGACTGGACAATAGACAGGATTTGCCCTCAGATTACGACTGGGCTTAGACGGATTAGACCATCAGATTACGACTGGACAATAAAGAAGAAACCTCAGATTTCGACTGGCAGGATTAGCCTCAGATCAGACTGGACAAAGACGGATTAACCATCAATTTCAGACGGACAATAGACAGATTTAACCCCATTTCGACTGGGCATAACAGGTTAGACCTCAGATTTTCAAAAGGCAAAAAGACGGTTAACCATCAATTACAGACTGGCAAAAGACAGGGTTTGACCACAGATTTTAAAATGGAAATGAAAGGATTGACCACAGATTACAGTCTGGGAAAAAACCAGGGTTTAAACCCCAGATTTCAACTGGACAATAGACGGGTTTTTACCAAATTTCAGACTGGGCAAAAGACAGGATTTGATCATCAGATTCAGACTGGAAGGGTTAGCCATCAGATTACAACTGGACGGATTTGACCAAGATTACAGACTGGACAATGACAGATTAGACCATCGGGTTTCAGACTGGAACAAAACAATTAGACCATCAGATTCCAATGGACAGGATTAACCACAATTACAGACTGGAAACAGACAGGTTTGACCTCGATTAACAACTGGGCAAAGCGGGTTAGACCATCAGATTACAGACTGGACAGGATTAGTCCATCAGATTACAGACTGGACAACAGACAGGATTAGACCATCAGATTACAGACTGGACAATAGACAGGATTAGACCATCAGATTAAGAGGACACAGACAGGGTGGGTGTGTGTGGTGTGTGTGTGTTGTGTGTGTGTGTGTGGGTGTGTGTGTGGGTGTGTGTGTGTGTGTGGTGTGTGGTGTGTGTGTGTGTGTATACCTGAGACAGTGCAGTGAGGGGAGGGTGGACAGGGCAGGAGCCAGTCTCTCTAGTCCATGGTCTCCTATACAGTTCTGAGACAGACTGAGAGAGGAGAGGAGAGGAGAGGAGAGGAGAGGAGAGGAGAGGAGAGGAGAGGAGAGGAGAGGGAGAGGAGAGGAGAGGAAGAGGAGAGGAGAGGAGGAGAGAGGAGAGGAGAGGGAGGAGGGAGGAGAGAGAGAGAGGAGAGGAGAGGAGAAGAGGAGAGGAGGGGAGGAGGAGGAGAAGAGAGAGAGGGAGGGAGGAGGAGAGGGAGGAGGAGGAGGAGAGGAGAAGAGAGAGGAGGAGAGGGAGGAGGAGGAGGAAGAGGAGAAGGAGAGAGGAGGGGGAGGAGGGGAGGAGAAGAGAGAGGAGGGGAGAGAGGAGGGGAGGAGAGGAGAGAGGAGGAGAGGAGAGGAGAAGAGAGAGGAGGGGAGGAGAAGAGAGGAGGAGAGGGAGGAGGAGGAGAGGAGGGGAGGAGGAGGAGAGGAGGGGAGGAGAGGAGAGGAGAGGAGAGGAGAGGAGAGAGAGGAGAGGAGAGGAGGGGAGGAGAAGAGAGAGGAGAGGAGGAGGAGAGAGAGGAGGGGAGGAGAAGAGAGAGGAGAGGAGGAGGAGGAGGAGAGGGATCATAAACACTGTTCTCAAAAGCACAGTAACTGACTGAATGTTTTTGCTGATAGATATTATCTAGGGCAGTGGTCGACCAACCTTTTCTGAGTCAAAATGCAAGCAGAGATCTACAGCTCATATCTTTTTTTAAATAAAAGAATTACAAAACATAAGACATTAACCAATTAAATACCGTTCTGTAGCAATGAGGTTTGTGCAGTAGGCTATAGGGCCAAAACATTATCACTGCATATGGCTATGATTGAACTGCCCTGCCAATGTTGATCTTCTCAGACTATTTTGAAATGTATAGAACAAAATGTGGTATATGATGACACTGGTAATAGATCATTTGTTGTATTACTTGTGAGGGAGGCACAGCTGAGTTAGCAGAATCATTTGCTGTTTCTTTTTACTGGACTGATGGTCAGTCTGAGGGGAGGAGGAGGGAGCAGCGTGAGGCTGACTGATGACCTGCATCTGATGGTCAGTCTGAGGGGAGGGAGGTAGAGAGCAGCGGTGAGGCTTGACTGATGACTGATGGTCAGTCTGAGGGGAGGGAGGGAGAGCAGTGGTGAGGGCTGACTGATGGCCTGATATGGTCAGTCTGAGGGGGGAGGGAGCAGCGGTGAGGCGTGACTGATGACCTGCATCTGATGGTCAGTCTGAGGGGAGGGAGGAGGCGGAGGCGATGAGGTGAGGTCAGTTGAGGGGAGGGAGGGAGCAGCGGTGAGGCTGACTGATGGACTGCATCTGATGGTCAGTCTGAGGGGAGGGAGGGAGGGAGCAGCGGTGAGGTGACTGATGCGATCTGATGGTCAGTCTGAGGGGAGGGAGGGAGCAGCGGTGAGGCGTGACTGATGACCTGATGGTCAGTCTGAGGGGGGGAGGGAGCAGCAGGTGAGGCTGACTGATGACCTGATATCTGATGGTCAGTCTGAGGGGAGGGAAGCAGCGGTGAGGCTGACTGATGGCCTGCATCTGATGGTCAGTCTGAGGGGAGGGAGGGAGCAGCGTGGTTGAGGCTGACTGATGGCCTGCATTGATGGTCAGTCTGAGGGGAGGGGGGAGAGTGGTGGGCTGACGAAAACTGATGGTCAGTTGAGGGGAGGGAGCAGCGGTGAGGCGATGATGACTGATCTGATGGTCAGTCTGGGGAGGGAGGAGCAGCGTGAGGCCCTCACCCGACTCACGTCCCCTCTCTCCCTCCTCGCTGAGAAAAGGGACACAGTTCAGTGATGCGAAACTCAAGTCACACTGCATTAATTTGCCTAGCATCAATTATGTGTACCCTTATGACAGAGAAAAGTGAAATATTCTCGACATTAAAGACCAAAGCCACTAATAATAACACGCAAGTTATGGAACGTTGTGTATATCATAGGTGCAGGGTTGAGGTGAGTGGAAGTAGGAGAACGTGATTTTTTTGTCTAAAGGTGGAACAAGTGTTACGGCGTTAACAACTAAACTACTTATCTAAAACAGCAGTCTTTGGTACTCGTTGAGTCGTTAGTCATGGTTTTTAAATTTTTAAAAGTCACAGTATCAATTTTGCTGTGGTTCGAGGCTTCTCTTTTTACATCTATGACTGAGGAAATGAAGACACGGTGATCTGACCTTGGTGACCTGATAGGGAGTAGAGAGCTCTGTTTTGGGAGGTGGTACCCTGTCTAGAAATAGAGAGCCGGATCGACGGTTGGGGGACGCTGCTAGGAAGAGAGCTCTGTGATCGACAGGTTGTAACACTGATCGGGAAGGAGGCTCTGTGATTGACGGTTTGGTAACCACTGATCTGGGGTAGAGAGTCTGTGTCGAAGGTTGGGGACGCTGATCTAGGGGTAGAGGCCTGTGACGACAGGTGGTGACCCTGATCTAGGAAGAGAGGCTCTGTGATCGACGGTTGGTGACCGCTGATCAGGAAGTAGAGAGCTCTGTGATCGACAGGTGGTGACCGCTGATCTAGGAAGAGAGAGCTGTGATCGACAGGTGGGACTCTGACTAGGGAGTGAGAGCTTTTGATCGACAGGTTGGGTAACCCACTGATCTAGGAAGTAGAGAGCTCTGTGATGACAGGTTGGAGACCATGATCTAGGGAGTAGAGAGCTCTGTGATTGCCCGGGTTTGGTGACCGCTGACCTAGGGAGAGAGAGTTGTGATCGACAGGTGGGAGACCTCTGATCTAGGAAGTAGAGAGCTCGTGATCGACGGTTGGGGACCCTGATCTAGGAAGTAGAGAGCTCTGTGATCAAAGGTTGGGGACCCCTGACTAGGGGTAGAGAGCTTGTGACGCAGGGGGAGACCCTGATCTAGGGATTTAGAGGAGCTCGTGATCGACGGGTTTGGGGGGAGACCCCTGATCTAGGAAGTAGAGAGCTCTGTGATCGACAGGTTGGTGACCCTGTTTCTAGGGAGTAGAGAGCTTGTGACGACAGGTTGGGAAACCCACCTGATCTAGGAAGGAGAGGCCTGTGATGACAGGTTGGGGAGCCCGCTGATTGGGGAGTGAGAGCTCGTGTTTCGACGGGTTGGGAGACCTTATCTAGGAAGTAGAGAGCTTGTGATGGGACAGGTTGGGTGACCCCGATCTAGGGGTAGAGAGCTCTTGATCGACAGGTGGGAGACCCCTGACTAGGAAAAGTAGAGAGCTCTGTGATCGACAGTTGGGAGCACATGATCTAGGAAGTGAGATCTTGAGTTTGACAGGTGGGAGACCCTGATAATAGGAAGTAGAGAGCTCTGTGATCTGATCCCGGTTGGTGACCCGCTGACCTAGGGAGTAGTAGCGGAGCTCTGTGATCGACAGGTTGGGAGACCTCTGATCTAGGAAGTAGAGAGCTCTGTGATCGACAGGTTGGGAGACCCCTGATCTAGGAAGTAGAGAGCTCTGTGATCGACAGGTTGGGAGACCCCTGATCTAGGGAGTAGAGAGCTCTGTGATCGACAGGTTGGGAGACCCCTGATCTAGGGAGTAGAGAGCTCTGTGATCGACAGGTTGGGAGACCCCTGATCTAGGAAGTAGAGAGCTCTGTGATCGACAGGTTGGGTGACCCCTGATCTAGGGAGTAGAGAGCTCTGTGATCGACAGGTTGGGAGACCCCTGATCTAGGAAGTAGAGAGCTCTGTGATCGACAGGTTGGGAGACCGCTGATCTAGGGAGTAGAGAGCTCTGTGATCGACAGGTTGGGAGACCCCTGATCTAGGAAGTAGAGAGCTCTGTGATCTGACAGGTTGGTGACCACTGATCTAGGGAGTAGAGAGCTCTGTGATCGACAGGTTGGGAGACCCCTGATCTAGGAAGTAGAGAGCTCTGTGATCGACAGGTTGGGAGACCCCTGATCTAGGAAGTAGAGAGCTCTGAGATCGACAGGTTGGGAGACCCCTGATCTAGGAAGTAGAGAGCTCAGTGTGAGGTTCTTACTTGATAATCTGCAGAGAGGAGAGAGACGACACAGCTTCAGCCAGCCCCTCCGCTCCGCTGTCCCCCAGCTTACTGTTCTCCAGACTAGGAGAGGGAGACAGAGAGATTAGACAAACGCCATAATCAACTAGACAACAAAACGGCGCACCGTTGTCCTGCCGTCACGTCGTCCATTAGTGGGTGCAGTACTCACTCCAGATGTTGTAGACTGTGCAGTGCCTGGCAGCAGCTCCAGGAGTTTAGGGAGAGCCAGGGGCCCATTCACTGGACCCAACCTACACACAGAAAACACACAAACCATTGGGTAACTCTTGAGTTATTACCTAGTCAAATTACATTTTGTACATTTTAGTCGTTTTAGCAGACGCTCTTATCCAGAGCGACTTACAGTTAAGTGAGTGCATACATTTTTCATACTGCCCCCACCCCCCCCTGCCGCCCCCGTGGGAAAACGAACCCACAACCCTGGCGTTGCAAGCGCCATGCTCTACCAACTGAGCTACAGGGGGGACTATAAAATCAAATCAAAGTTTGACTTATTACCTAGTCAAATCAACGTTTATTGACTTATTAGCTAGTGTTAAATCGAGTGAAAAGTTTATTGAGTTTTATTACCTAGTGATAGGGGATTGGGTTTAATAATGATACTCACTCAAACTCCAGCTTGTGGAGATCTCTGACTGCAGGTATGCCCTCCCCAAGGACACCGTCTGACAGGCTGAAATGATGACGGACAAATCATCACGTTTTTAGAACATACCGGTATGTATATATACTGTATGAGGATGTATTGTAGATGGCTGTAACTAGAGCTGGTTGATATATACTGTAGGGGATGTATTGTAGATGGCGGTAAACTAAGCTGGGTTGATTTTTACTGTAGGGGATGTATTGTAGATGGCTGTAATAGAGCTGGTTGATATATACTGTATGAGGATGTATTTTAGATGGCTGTAACTGAGGGGTTGATAATACGTAGGGGATGTATTGTAGATGGCTGTAACTAGAGCAGGGTTGATATATACTGTAGGGGATGTATTGTAGATGGCTGTAACTAGAGCAGGGTTAATATATACTGTAGGGGATGTATTGTAGATGGCTGTAACTAGAGCTGGGTGATATTACTGTAGAGGATGTATTGTAGATGGCTGTTTAAATAGAGCAGGGTTGATATATACTGTATGAGGGATGTATTGTAGATGGCTGTAAAATAGAGCTGGGTTGATATATACTGTAGGGGGGTATTGTAGATGGCTGTAATAGAGCTGGTTGATATATACTGTATGAGGATGTATTGTAGATGGCTGTAACTAGAGCAGGGTTGATATATACTGTATGGGGATGTATTGTAGATGGCTTTTAACTAGAGCAGGGTTGATAATACTGTAGGGGATGTATTTTAGATGCTGGGAACTAGAGCAGGGTGTATTATAATGTATGGGATGTTTGTAGATGGTGTAACTAGAGCTGGTGATAAAAACTGTAGGGGATGTATTGTAGTGGCTTTTAACTAGAGCTGGTTGATATATACTGTAGGGGATGTATTGTAGATGGCTGTAAAAGAGCTGGGTTTATATATACTGTAGGGGATGTATTGGGAGAGGCTGGGAACTAGAGCTGGTTGATATATACTGTAGGGGGTGTATTGTAAAATGGCTTGTAACAGAGGCAGGGTTGATATATATGTAGGGGATGTATTGTAGATGGCTGTAATTAGAGTGGTTGATATATACTGTAGGGGATGTATTGTAGATGGCTGTAACTAGAGCTGGGTTGATATATACTGTAGGGGATGTATTGTAGATGGCTGTAACTAGAGCTGGTTGATATATACTGTAGGGGATGTATTGTAGATGGCTGTAACTAGAGCTGGGTTGATATATACTGTAGGGATGTATTGTAGATGGCTGTAAAAATAGAGCGGGTTGATTTTATACTGTAGGGGATGTATTGTAGATGGCTGTAACTAGAGTGGTTGATATATACTGTAGGGGATGTAGTGTAGATAGGCTGTTGTAACTAGAGCTGGTGATATATATGTAGGGGATGTATTGTAGATGCTGTTAACTAGAGGTTGTTGATATATACTGTAGGGGATGTATTGTAGATGGCTGTAACTAGAGCTGGTGATATATACTGTATGGGGATGTATTGTAGATGGCTGTAACTAGAGCTGGTTGATATATACTGTAGGGGATGTATTGTAGATGGCTGTAACTAGAGCTGGTTGATATATACTGTAGGGGATGTATTGTAGATGGCTGTAACTAGAGCAGGGTTGATATATACTGTAGGGGATGTATTGTAGATGGCTGTAACTAGAGCAGGGTTGATATATACTGTATGAGGATGTATTGTAGATGGCTGTAACTAGAGCTGGTTGATATATACTGTAGGGGATGTATTGTAGATGGCTGTAACTAGAGCTGGTTGATATATACTGTAGGGGATGTATTGTAGATGGCTGTAACTAGAGCAGGGTTGATATATACTGTATGAGGATGTATTGTAGATGGCTGTAACTAGAGCTGGTTGATATATACTGTAGGGGGTGTATTGTAGATGGCTGTAACTAGAGCAGGGTTGATATATACTGTATGGGGATGTATTGTAGATGGCTGTAACTAGAGCTGGGTTGATATATACTGTAGGGGAGGTAGTGTAGATGGACTTGTAAACTAGAGTGGTTGATATATACTGTATGAGGAGGTATTGTAGATGGCTGCTAACTAGAGCTGGGTTGATATATCTGTAGGGGGATGTATTTGTAGATGGCTGTAACTAGAGCCAGGGTGGATATATACTGTATGGGGATGTATTGTAGATGGCTGTGTAACTAGAGCAGGGTAATATATACTGTAGGGTGAGTATTGTAGAGGCTGTAACTAGAGCTGGGTTGATAATACTGTATGAGGATGTATTGTAGATGGTTTGGTAACTAGAGCGGGTTGTTTTACGTTTTGAGGGATTGTAGATGCTGTAACTAGAGCGGGTTTTTATTACTGGTAGGGGTATGTATGTAGATGGCTGTAACTAGAGCTGGTTGATATATACTGTATTGGGATGTATGTAGATGGCTGTAACTAGAGCAGGGTTGATATATACTGTATGGGGATGGTATTGTAGATGGCGTAACTAGAGCAGGGTTTTATATATACTGTAGGGGATGTATTGTAGATGGCTGTGTAACTAGAGCAGGTTGAATATACTGAGAGGATGTATTGTAGATGGCTGTAACTAGAGCTGGTTGATATACTGTAGGGGATGTTTTTGTAGATGGCTGTAAATAGAGCTGGTTGATATTACTGTAGGGGGAATTATTGTAGATGGCTGTAACTAGAGCTGGTTGATTTTAAATGTAGGGGATGTATTGTAGTGGCTGTAATAGAGCTGGTTGATAACTGTAGGGGAAAGTATTGTAGATGGCTGTAACAGAGCAGGGTTGATATATACGTAGGGGATGTATTGTAGATGGCTTTGTAATTAGAGCTGGTTTTATATACTGTAGGGGATGTATTGTAGTGGCTGTAACTAGAGCTGGGTGATATATACTGTAGGGGATGTTTGAGATGGCTTTTTACTAGAGCTGTTGATATATACGTAGGGGGTGTATTGAGTGGCTTTACTAGGCTGGGTTGATTATACTGTAGGGGAGGATGTAGATGGCTTTGTTTTAACTAGAGCCGGTGATATATACGTGGGATGTATTGTAGATGGCGTAACTGAGCTGGTTTTTATATATACGTAGGGGATGTATTGTAGATGGCTTTTTTAACTAGAGCTGTTTGTATATTTCGTGGGATGTATTGTAGATGGCTTTTAACTAGAGTTGGTTGTATATACCCGTAGGGGGTTTGTAGATGGCTGTTGTTAACTTTGAGCTGGTTTATTATACTGTATGGGTTTTGGGAGATGGCTGTTAACTAGAGTGGTTGATATACTGTGGGGATTTTATTGTAGATGGCTGTAACTAGAGCTGGTTGATATTACTGTAGGGGATGTATTGTAGATGGCTGTAACTAGGCAGGGTGATTTACTGTAGGGATGTATTGTAGATGGCTGTAACTACCGCAGGGTTTTTATTTTTACTGTATGAGGTTATTGTAGCTGGCTTGTAACTAGAGCTGGTTGATATACTGTAGGGGATGTATTGTAGATGGCTTGTAACTGAGCTGGTTGGATATTACGTAGGGGATGTATGTAATGGGTGTAACTAGAGCAGGGGATTAATACTGTATGAGGATTGTATTAGAGGCTGTAACTAGAGCTGGTTGATATATTTCTGTGGGGTGTATGTGATGGCTGTAACTAGAGCAGGGTTGATATATACTGTAGGGGATGTATGGGAGATGGCTGTTACAGAGTGGGGGGTTGGGTAGAAGTAGGGGATGGGTGGGGAGATGCTTGTTTAAATAGAGCTGGTTGATATATACTGTTGGGTGTATTGTAGATGGCTGTTTAAATAGGCAGGGTTATATATACTGTAGGGGATGTATTGTAGATGGTGTAACTAGAGCTGGGTTGATATACTGTAGGGGTGTATTGTGATGGCTGTAACCCAGAGTGGTTGATATATTTCTGTAGGGGATGTTTGTGATGGCTTGTAACTAGAGCGGTTGATATATACTGTAGGGATGTATTGTAGTGCCTGTTAACTAGAGTGGTTGATTTTATACTTTAGGGGATGTATGTAGGGGTGGCGTAACTAGAGCTGGTTGATATACTTTTAGGGGATGTATTGTAGATGGCGTAACAGAGCTGGTTGATATATAGTAGGGGGGTGTATTGTAGATGGCTTTTTTAACTAGAGCAGGGTGGGTTATTACTGTATGGGATGTATTGTAGATGGCTGTTAACTAAAAGCAGGGTTGATATATATGTAGGGATGTATTTTAGATGGCTTAACTAGAGCAGGGTTGATATATATGTAGGGGATGTATTGTAGATGGCTGTAATAGAAATGGTTGATATATACTTATGGGATGTATTGTAGGTGGTGTGTGTGTGTTGTGCTGTATTGGCGTTTTTGTCAGACAGTCTCCTGTTTGTGTGTATCTTTTACAGTGAGGAAGGTGTTGTACATGGGACACCTGTGTGACTCTGAAAGGGTTAAGGGTCAACTTAGACACAGCCGCTTTCAGAAGCTCCTCCTCGCCACTTGCTTCTAGCTCTCCCAGGGGGGGATGGTGTAGCGTACACGCCCGGGGACACACACACAACCACACCACAACAACACACACAAAATAGAGTTTATGGTTCAAAACAACCCGAAAACTAAGTGAATTTCAAGTTCTACAACAGTAGGGGACAACAGGATTCTACACTGTAACAGATCTAACTGTTCTGAAACTTAATGTACCTATCTATACTGTTCTAGATTATACTGTACCCTATTTTATATGTTATAGATATATTTCGTAACATTTATGCGTTCTAGATATATAATGTACCATATTATATGTTAAGGATTATACTGTAACATACTATACTGTTTAGATCTATACTGTACTATATCTATACGTTATAGATATATTTCTGTTTAAAATAATTTTTTATACGTTCTAGATTATAAATGTACCAATCTATACGGGGGTAGATATATACTGTAACATTCTATTTCTGTTCTAGAATTACTGTACCATATAACTGTTTTAGATAAATACTGTAAAAAGACTAAATGTTTGATCTATACTGTAACAGATTTATAATGTTCTAGATCTATAACTGTCAGATCATACTGTACCATATCTAAACTGTTCTAGATATATACTGTACCATATCTATACTGTTATAGATATATACTGTAACATATCTATACTGTTCTAGATATATACTGTACCATATCTATACTGTTATAGATAAATACTGTAACAGATCTATACTGTTCTAGATCTATACTGTACCATATCTATACTGTTCTAGATCTATACTGTAACAGATCTATACTGTTCTAGATCTATACGTACACTATATGTTCTAGATCTATAACTGTACGATCTATACTGTTCTAGATCTATACTGTACCATATCTATACTGTTCTAGAAATATACTGGACCATATCTATACTGTTATAGATATATACTGTAACATATCTATACTGTTCTAGATCTATACTGTAACAGATCTATACTGTTCTAGATCTACACTGTAACATATCTATACTGTTCTAGATCTATACTGTACCATATCTATACTGTTCTAGATCTATACTGTACCATATCTATACTGTTCTAGATCTATACTCTACCATATCTATACTGTTCTAGATATATACTGTAACAGATCTATACTGTTCTAGATCTACACTGTAACAGATCTATACTGCTCTAGCTCTATACTGTACCATATCTATACTGTTCTAGATCTATACTGTACCATATCTATACTGTTCTAGATATATACTGTAACAGATCTATACTGTTCTAGATATAATGTAAAATATCTATACCGTTTTAGATCTATACTGTAACATATCTATACTGTTCTAGATATATACTGTAACAGATCTATACTGTTCTAGATATAATGTAAAATATCTATACTGTTCTAGATATATACTGTAACATCTATACTGTTCTAGATATATACTGTAACATATCTATACTGTTCTATAATGTAGATATAATGTAAAATATATATACTGTTCTAGATATATACTGTAACAGATCTATACTGTAACCTATATATACTGTTCTATATATATACTGTAACAGATCTATACTGTTGTAGATATAATGTAAAATGTCTATACTGTTGTAGATATAATTTAACAGATCTATACTGTTATAGATATATAATGTAACAGATATACTGTTCTAGATATAATGTAACATATCTATACTGTTCTAGATATATACTGTAACAGATCTATACTGTTCTAGATATATACTGTAACATATCTATACTGTTCTAGATATAATGTAAAATATCTATAAAGTTATAGATATATAATGTAAAATATCTATACTGTTATAGATATATAATGTAAAATATCTATACTGTTATAGATATATAATGTAACAGATTATTACTGTTGTAGATATATAATGTAACAGATCTATACTGTTCTAGATATATACTGTAACATATCTATACTGTTCTAGATATAATGTAAAATATCTATACTGTTATAGAAATATACTGTAACAGATCTATACTGTTCTAGATATAATGTAAAATATCTATACTGTTCTAGATATATACTGTAACATCTATACTGTTCTATATATATACTGTAACATGATCTATACTGTTCTAGATATACTGTAAAATATATATACTGTTCTAGATATATACTGTAACAGATATATACTGTTCTAGATATAATGTAAAATGTATATACTGTTGTAGATATAATTTAACAGATCTATACTGTTATAGATATATAATATAACAGATCTACTGTTCTAGATATAATGTAACAGATCTATACTGTTCTAGATATATACTGTAACAGATCTATACTGTTCTAGATATATACTGTAACATATCTATACTGTTCTAGATATAATGTAAAATATCTATACAGTTATAGATATATAATGTAAAATATCTATACTGTTATAGATATATAATGTAAAATATCTATACTGTTATAGATATATAATGTAACAGATATATACTGTTGTAGATATATAATGTAACAGATCTACACTGTTCTAGATATATACTGTAACAGATCTATACTGTTGTAGATATATACTGTAACAGATCTAAAATGTAACAGATCTATACTGTAACATCTATACTGTTATAGATATATACTGTACCATATCTATACTGTTCTAGATCTATACTGTAACAGATCTATACTGTAACAGATCTATAATGTAACAGATCTATACTGTAACAGATCTATAATGTAACAGATCTATACTGTACCAGATCTATACTGTTGTAGATATATACTGTAACATCTATACTGTTGTAGATCTATAATGTACCAGTGTCAGTACCTGTAGGAGTTTATGTTGTGGAGACCTGTTAGTAGTTTTAGCCCTGTGATTCTCAGTCCTGTGTCCTCCAGCCCCAGACAGAACCTCCTCCTCGGCGTTCTACACTGGTCCAGAAGGTTCCACACCACATAGGCGTCGGCGGGGCACAGCGGAACCCCTTGGAAGGACAGAACCTCGGGAAGGTTCCGCACCAGCTGTCTGACCAAGTGGGCGTCGCCTGTCTCGTAAACACAGTGACACGCCTCCAGGAGCCTGGCAGGGTTTAGCTCCGCAGGGTGAAGGTTCTCCAGGTGTGACGTCACAGCGGCTCGCTTGGCCACCACCGCACTCATGGCGCCGGTATCTAGGGTGGCCAGATCCCGGAGTTCCGCCTTGTTCCGGAACAGCAGGCCGACAGCGAATCGCTGAGCAAGGTCCAGGCACTCTCCCTGAGGCCGTCGCCTCCCCCTGGGCTGCAGAGTAGAATAGAATAGGACAGAGTAGAGTAGAATAGAGTAGAGTAGAGGAGAATAGAGTAGAATATAATAGAGTAGAGTAGAGTAGAGTAGTATGTAGAGTAGAGGAGAATGTGTTAATAAGTAGATAGAGTAGAAGTAGAGCTATAGATAGAATAGGACAGAATGACGTAAATAGAGTAGGTAGAGTAGAGCTGATAAGTAGAGTAGAGTAGGTAGAGTAGAGTAGAGGTGATAGAGTAGAGAAACGTAGAGTAGAGTAGAGGTAGAGATAGATGAATAGCGACAGAATAGAGTAGATGACTAGGTATGAGTAGAGTGAATAGTAGTAGATAGACGTAGAGTGAGTAGGTAGGTAGTAGTAGAGTACGAGTAGCAGTGAGATCAGATGTAGACGTAGCGTACAAGATAGATGCTAGCGTCGCATGGAGTGAGAGTAGAGTAGATAGAGTCGAGTAGTCGAGTAGAGTAGAGTAGAGTGAGCTAGAGCTAGGATGGTCAGAGTACGAGTCAGAATAGATAGAATAGCATGAGTCGATGCCGTCAGATGGTCGGTAGCCTCGGTAGAATGGTCGAATAGAGTAGGTATTATCGCGTCGAGTCGAGTGATCTCTCGCGTAGCGAATATATGCGTAGAGTTAGAGTCGAGTAGTAGGAATGCTGAGTGAATATAGTAGCCTCGAGTAGAATGATAGAGTGCGTAGATAGAGTTAGTAGAATAGCAGCGCCTAGTCGAATAGAGTCGCTAGCGTCGAACAGGTAGCCTGGTAGAGTAGGTAGATAGCGTAGCTAGCTAGCGTAGAATAGCTAGAGTAGCATAGATCGTGCTAGCGTAGCAGCGTACGAGTAAGTAGAGTCAACAAACCAGCCATTTCATTTTAGTCATTCAGCAGACGCTCTTATCCAGAGCGACTTCCAGTCAGTGCATTCATCTGAACACAGCTGGGTGGGACAAACCACATATCACAGTCATGGTAAGAACATTTTCCCTCCATAAAGGAGCTATCAGTAGAGTCCGAGATAGAAAGGAGGTGCTGGTTCAGGTGAGGAGGAGGAGGAGGAGGAGGATTGAGTTGAATAGTTAAACAGTAATGATACCTGTGGTAGAATCTGGGTCAGCAGGGCTCGGTCAGACACACACCTGGAGACAGACAGGTGGACCCCGCCCAGGAAGCTTTGCAGGAAGGGGTGGGCCCAGGACAGGATGTTGTCATAACTGATGTCATCACCGTCACAGTCTCTGCCCTGCCCCCCCCTCAGCCAGTGAGAATGGACCAGTCCAGTCCTCAGGCCAAACACCCGCAGCCTGACATAGATGGTATGCTCCAGGGTCAGGGTCAGGAGAGATGAATGACCTTTAACCCCCTGCCAGGCCAGACCGCTCAACTCAGACAGAACACACCTGTTCTCCTCCTCCTCTTCCTCTCCCTCCTCTCCCTCCTCCTTCTCCTCCTCCTCTCTCTCTTCTTCATTCTCCTTCACCCTCTTCTCTCTCCCCCTCTTCTCTCTCCCCCTCTTCTCTCTCCCCCTCTTCTCCTTACCCCCTCTTCTCTTCTGCCAATTGAATTTGGGATTGAGTGTGGGAGCGGGTGTGGATGTGTGTTCCTGTCCTGTTGTGTGTGTGTTTAGGGCCGTGTTTTTCACTGTGCTTAGGGGTGTGACTGTGTGTCTGGGTGTGTGTTTGGGGTAGTGTTTGGGGGTTGTGGTTGGGGGTAGTGGTGTTTGGGGGTGTGTTTGGGTGGGTGTTGAGTGTGTTTGGGGTAGGGGTGTGTTTGGGGGTGTGGGTGTGTGTGTTGGGGTAGGGTGGTGTGTTTGGGGTAGGGGGTGGTGGTGTTTGGGGTGTGTGTGTTTGGGGTGGTTGTTGGGTGTGTTTGGTGGGTGTGTGTTTGGGGTGGGGTGTTTGGGGTGTGTGTTGTGGGTAGGTGTGTGTTTGGGGTGGGTGTGTGTTTGGGGTGGGTGTGTGTTTTGTTAGGTGATGTTGTAGGTGGGGTAGTGGTTGGGGTTCTAGAGGCAGTGGTGTTTGGGGTTCCGGGTTGTGTTGGTGGGTGGCTAGTGGGGTCTGGGTGTTGGGGCGTGGGGTGGGGTGTGGGTAGACGGTGCGGGGTGGGTGAGGTGGTGGTGTCTGGGGCGGGCTGGGTGGTGGTGGTGGTGGGAGCGGGGTGGGGCTGTGGTCTGGGCAGGCTGGTGGCTGGGGTGGTGGGGGCTGGGCTGGGCTGGGCTAGAGGCTGTTGGCTGGGTGTAGGAGGTGGCTGGGGGGCTGGGCTAGGGGCTGGGGCTGGCTCGGGTAGGGGTGGGCTGGGGAGGAGCTGGGGCTGGGGCTAGGGGCTGGGGCTGGGGCTGGGGCTGGGGCTGGGGCCTGTTGGGAGTGTCCAGAGAAGTACTGTCCCAGGTATCTCTCTATGTCCGGAGGGGAGAAGCCAGAGAGTTCCAGGAGGCTGTCAGCCCGTCTCAGCAGACCGCTGACGGTGCCTCGCGGTCGGGCAGAGAGGAGCAGAGAGCAGCCCGGTAGGAGCCTCCTCTGGAGCAAGCCTGAGAACAGCTGTCTAACGCTGTAGGTCCCACCCCTACTGTCATCCGCTGGACACTGCAGCAGCCCCTCCATGTCACGCACCACCTCGAAGCCGTCGAATATCACCAGCACACGCTCCGGGGCAGAGAGGACCTGATTGAAGACATCCTGGGGGTGGGGACAGGGAAGTGGGGAGGAGGAGAGGTGGAGGAGGAGGGACTGAAGGCTATGGGTCGGCTCAGGGGGGAGGGTCAGAGCCTTGCCGTCCAATAAGAACACAAAGTCAAACTGAGGCAGGAGGCCGTCGGACCAATCAACACAGAGCTTCTTGATGAGCGTGCTCTTGCCCATGCCGGCGTTGCCTAGCAACACGATGGAACGTTTGGGTTTCGCCCCCGCGGAGCTCTCGAACACCTAACGATGAACACAGTTAATAATACATTAATTACACTTTTCCTTACAGAAATCATTATTAATAGAGGACTAAAAACATGTATTGACAGCCTTAAGATAAGACTAAATACTAATAGTGTCTCCTAGGTGATGACGTAATGACAGCATTAAGATAAGACTAGTCTGACCTGACTTCTGGCCAGCGAGCCCCGCCTCCTCTCAGTGTCTCCCATGACGACCAGATCCTTCTCCAGGCACTTGTTGGCGTTCTTCCCTGAGCCAATCAGGATCTGCCTCTGGACCAATCGCACGTCAACATAGTGGGACGCCAGGCTAAGGCCCGCCTCCGTCTCCTGTTGAGACGACATCATTGGTCGAGACAGGCAGAGTTGGGGTCCATATGAGTAATGTTCTCTTTGGAAGAAGTCAACCCCACTCAACGTCCCCTCTATCTGGTTCCCTGGTCTTACCTGGCACATTTCCCTCAGGTGAACCTTGGTTTGGTGAATGTACGCTTCCACACTCTCTGTAACACACACAGACACACACACACACACACACACACACACACCACACACACACACAGACACACACACACAGACACACACACACAGACACACACAGACACACAACACACACACACACACACACACACACACACACACACACACACACACACACACACACACACACACACACACACACACACACACACACACACACACTGTAACATTCTCATGTGATTGCCTTGTTTAGCTGTTTTTTCATGATGTGTTTGAAAGATAAGATGTCTCTGTAGTAGACTGCTGAAGTGATGCCATGATGTGAAGCGGGCTGTAACTCACCTGCCCTGGGGGAGAGGGGGGAGGCTGAGGGGGGTGAGAGGGGGGAGGCTGAGGGGGCTGACAGGGCTCGGCTGGCACAGTCAGACAGAGATCCAGGAGGAGAGGAACACATCAGGTCTGGAGCTTCCGCACTGTCGACTACACACACACACACACACACACACACACACACACACAGACACACACACACACACACACACACACACACACACACACACACACACACACAGACACAGCATGAGTAAAAAACACACCCTGTATTCAAGTTAACTCATGTTGATTGACTTGTTGACCCGGTATCAGTGAGGCATGATGAATGAATGAATGAATGGTATTTCTCCCTCCGGAGGAAGTTCTCCCCCCAGTAATGCAGGTGGCAAATCTCCCCTGTCTCATCAACGACTCTGAACGAGACCCAAATGGGCACTCTGTTTCCTCTATATAGTGCCACACTTTGGACCAGAACCCTATGGAGGAAATAGGGAGCCATATGGGAGTAAACTTAATCAGTAGAATAGAGGTGTTGATGTTGGTCACTACTCACCTGGAGAGAGAGGTAGGGCGTTGAGGGGTTGAGGAGGCAGCGAGGGAGACGACACTACACCTGGAGAGAGAGGTAGGGCGTTGAGGGGTTGAGGAGGCAGCGAGGGGGAACACACTACACCTGGAGAGAGAGGTAGGGCGTTGAGGGGTTGAGGAGGCAGCGAGGGAGACGACACTACACCTGGAGAGAGAGGTAGGGCGTTGAGGGGTTGAGGAGGCAGCGAGGGAGACGACACTACACCTGGAGAGAGAGGTAGGGCGTTGAGGGGTTGAGGAGGCAGCGAGGGAGACGACACTACACCTGGAGAGAGAGGTAGGGCGTTGAGGGGTTGAGGAGGCAGCAGGAGACGACACTACACCTGGAGAGAGAGGTAGGGCGTTGAGGGGTTGAGGAGGCAGAACACACTACACCTGGAGAGAGAGGTAGGGCGTTGAGGGGTTGAGGAGGCAGCGAGGGGGAACACACTACACCTGGAGAGAGAGGTAGGGCGTTGAGGGGTTGAGGAGGCAGAACACACTACACCTGAGAGAGAGGTAGGGCGTTGAGGGGTTGGGAGGCAGAACACACTACACCTGGAGAGAGAGGTAGGGCGTTGAGGGGTTGAGGAGGCAGAACACACTACACCTGGAGAGAGAGGTAGGGCGTTGAGGGTTGAGGAGGCAGAACACACTACACCTGGAGAGAGAGGTAGGGCGTTGAGGGGTTGGGAGGCAACGAGGGAGACACACTACACCTGGAGAGAGAGGTAGGGCGTTGAGGGGTTGAGGAGGCAGCGAGGGGGAACACACTACACCTGGAGAGAGAGGTAGGGCGCTTGAGGGGTTGAGGAGGGCAGAACACACTACACCTGGAGAGAGAGGTAGGGCGTTGAGGGGTTGAGGAGGCAGAACACACTACACCTGGAGAGAGAGGTAGGGCGTTGAGGGTTGAGGAGACAGAACACCTACACCTGGAGAGAGAGGTAGGGCTTGAGGGGTTGAGGAGGCAGAACACACTACACCTGGAGAGAGGTAGGGCGTTGAGGGGTTGAGGAGACAGCGAGGGGGAACACACTACACCTGGAGAGAGAGGTAGGGCGTTGAGGGGTTGAGGAGGCAGAACACACTACACCTGGAGAGAGAGGTAGGGCGTTGAGGGGTTGAGGAGGCAGAACACACTACACCTGGAGAGAGAGGTAGGGCGTTGAGGGGTTGAGGAGGCAGCGAGGGAGACGACACTACACCTGGAGAGAGAGGTAGGGCGTTGAGGGGTTGAGGAGGCAGAACACACTACACTGGAGAGAGAGGTAGGGCGTTGAGGGGTTGGGAGGCAGAACACACTACACCTGGAGAGAGAGGTAGGGCGTTGAGGGGTTGAGGAGGCAGAAAACACTACACCTGGAGAGAGAGGTAGGGCGTTGAGGGGTTGAGGAGGCAAAAACACACTACACCTGGAGAGAGAGGTAGGGCGTTGAGGGGTTGAGGAGCAGAACACACTACACCTGGAGAGAGAGGTAGGGCGTTGAGGGGTTGAGGAGGCAGCGAGGGAGAACACACTACACCTGGAGAGAGAGGTAGGGCGTTGAGGGGTTGGGGAGGCAGAACACACTACACCTGGAGAGAGAGGTAGGGCGTTGAGGGGTTGAGGAGGCAGAACACACTACACCTGGAGAGAGAGGTAGGGCGTTGAGGGGTTGAGGAGGCAGAACACACTACACCTGGAGAGAGAGGTAGGGCGTTGAGGGGTTGAGGAGGCAGAACACACTACACCTGGAGAGAGAGGTAGGGCGTTGAGGGGTTGAGGAGGCAGAACACACTACACCTGGAGAGAGAGGTAGGGCGTTGAGGGGTTGAGGAGGCAGAACACACTACACCTGGAGAGAGAGGTAGGGCGTTGAGGGGTTGAGGAGGCAGAACACACTACACCTGGAGAGAGAGGTAGGGCGTTGAGGGGTTGAGGAGGCAGAACACACTACACCTGGAGAGAGAGGTAGGGCGTTGAGGGGTTGAGGAGGCAGCGAGGGAGAACAAACTGAAAGGAGGGGTACGTCAGGTAAAGCACGCAGGCACACAGACTGGACACAAAACACACACACTTTCTGAGAGAGAGCAGTTGGCGCTGAGGAGGTGAAACAGAGCATCGCATCACTGGAGGAGGTAGAAACAGACATCCTCACTCTGGAGGAGAAGAGATGCTGTGCCTTGAGGGGTTGGAAACAGAACACTCTACACTGCGGGGGGAAAGAAGATTCTAGTGCCGTGAGGGGTGGGAGGGCAGGAGGAGAACACCTCACTGGCAGAGAGAGGAGAAACAGGTCGTTGCAGGGGTTAGAAGAGCACCCACTGAGGAGGTAGAACAGAAGCATTCGCTGCACTGAGAAGTAGAAACGAAGCGATTGCTGCACTGCAGAGAGGTAGAAAACAGAAGCATCTGGCATGCAGGAGGTAGAAAAGAGATTCTGCAGAGAGGTAGAACAGAAGCATTCTGCTGCACTGCAGGAGGTGAAGAAGATTCTGCACTGCAGAGGAAAGAAGCATTCTGCTGACTGCAGGAGTGTGAAAGAGTTGCTCATGCAGGAGGTGGAAACAGAAGCATTCGCTGCAACGCAGAAGTGGACAGAAGCACTGCGCACCCAGGACGGTAGAAACAAAAGCATTCCTCGCACTGCGACGGTGGAAACAAAGCACCGCACCAGGGGAAACAGAGCCACGCTGCACCAGGAGTGGAAACAACGCCCGCGCACTGCAGAGGAGAAATACAAACAGCGCCTGCCTGCGGAGGTAGAAACAGAAGCATCCATGCCACCCAGGAGGTGGAAACAGAAGCATTCTGCTACACTGCAGGAGGTAGAAACAGAGGCATTCTGCTGCACTGCAGGAGGTGGAAACAGAAGCATTCTGCTGCACTGCAGGAGGTGGAAACAGAAGCATTCTGCTAAACTCTGTACGCGACCAATGAACTTTGATTTGACTCGCGGACACACACACACACACACACACACACACACTCACTCAGTATGTAGGTGGGTGGTCTTGAGGAGCTGAAGAGAGGAGCTTGAACCAGACGCAGCTCTGAGCCATCTGTAAGGACACAGAACACAGGTTACACACACACACACACACACGCACGCGCGCACGCACACACACACACACACTACACACTACACACTACTACACACACAACCCACCGCACGCACGCACGCCCGCACACACAGCACGCACACCTACACCACACACCAACACACACACACCACACTACAACACTGAAACACTACACCAATAACACACACACTACACACCACTACACACTACACAACTACACACACTACACACACACTACACACACACACACTTGGGGCCCGTTTCCCCCGGACACAGATTAAGCCTAGTCCCGGACTAACAAAGCATGCTCAAAAGAAAATCTCCATTCAAAGTGCTTTTTTAGTCCAGGATCACGGTTCATTTGTGTCTGGGAAAAACCGGTCCATAACATCATACTTACTGCTACAAGAGGAGAGGAAAGTAGCATTCCCAAACCCAGGAATGTAAAGGAGTGAGGGAGGGAGGGATGGAGTGATCGGGAGAAGTCTAGGGGGAGAAGAGAGAGTCACGGCTGGGAGGGGAGCAGAGCCAGGACCACCTACAGAGAACAAAAAAAACAAATCAGTTGATTTTATTTAGTTCCATTTCAAAACAGGCCTAGATCATCAATCACCACGCTACCTCGCTGTTGACGAACTGAAGACAATACTGCCTTTTTTCTGTCCATTCCCCAGAACTGTGCACTTGTTCACTCCCCCTTATCCCTGTAGTGTGCACTTGTTCACTCCCCCTCAAGGATCTGAAAGTTTTGGATATGTCTTATAACCACTCCAGTGCTTTTAATGCACTTTAAATACATGAAGGGGAGTGAAGGAGTGTACACTTCAGGGAGAGGGGGGAGAAGGTAGAAACAGAGTTGGTCCTAGGCTTTACCTCTGATGGGAGAGTGTCTCTGAGTCTCTCTCCTCTTCTCTCTCTTCCTCTGTCCATCACCAGGTTCTGTCGTTCTCCTCTTCCTCTGTCCATCACCAGGCTCTGTCTCTCTCCTCTTCCTCTGTCCATCACCAGGCTCTGTCGTTCTCCTCTTCCTCTGTCCATCACCAGGCTCTGTCTCTCTCCTCTTCTCTCTCTTCCTCTGTCCATCACCAGGCTCTGTTTGGGACAACATCACAGAGGACACTGTTGTTTCAATCAACCAATCTATCAAATCAACCAATCAATCAATCAACTGTTGTTGACATCATACTCTATATCAGAGGGCCTTTGTGAGTGCAGGCTTTTGCTCCGACCAAGCAGCAACACAGTTTATTTAAGTATTTAATAAGTCAAACAGCAACAGTTCATTTAAGTCTTTAATAAGCCAAGGAACAACACAGTTTAAGTCTTTAATAAACCAAGCAACAACACAGCTTATTTAAGTCTTTAATATACCAAGCAACAACACAGCTTATTTAAGTATTTAATAAACCAAGCAGCAACACAGCTTATTTAAGTCTTTAATAAACCAAGCAACAACACAGCTTATTTAAGTCTTTAATAAACCAAGCAGCAACACAGCTTATTTAAGTCTTTAATAAACCAAGCAGCAACACAGCTTATTTAAGTCTTTAATAAACCAAGCAACCAAGCATCTTATTTAAGTCTTTAATAAACCAAGCAACAACACAGCTTATTTAAGTATTTAATAAACCAAGCAGCAACACAGCTTATTTAAGTCTTTAATAAACCAAGCAACAACACAGCTTATTTAAGTATTTAATAAACCAAGCAGCAACACAGCTTATTTAAGTCTTTAATAAGCCAAGCAACCAAGCATCTTATTTAAGTCTTTAATAAACCAAGCAACAACACAGCTTATTTAAGTATTTAATGAACCAAGCAGCAACACAGCTTATTTAAGTCTTTAATAAGCCAAGCAACCAAGCATCTTATTTAAGTCTTTAATAAACCAAGCAACAACACAGCTTATTTAAGTATTTAATAAACCAAGCAGCAACACAGCTTATTTAAGTCTTTAATAAACCAAGCAACAACACAGCTTATTTAAGTATTTAATAAACCAAGCAGCAACACAGCTTATTTAAGTCTTTAATAAGCCAAGCAACCAAGCATCTTATTTAAGTCTTTAATAAACCAAGCAACAACACAGCTTATTTAAGTCTTTAATAAACCAAGCAGCAACACAGCTTATTTAAGTCTTTAATAAGCCAAGCAACCAAGCATCTTATTTAAGTCTTTAATAAGCCAAGCAACCAAGCATCTTATTTAAGTCTTTAATAAACCAAGCAACAACACAGCTTATTTAAGTCTTTAATAAACCAAGCAGCAACACAGCTTATTTAAGTCTTTAATAAGCCAAGCAACCAAGCATCTTATTTAAGTCTTTAATAAACCAAGCAACAGCTTATTTAAGTCTTTAATAAACCAAGCAACAACAGCTTATTTAAGTCTTTAATAAACCAAGCAACAACAGCTAATTTAAGTCTTTAATAAACCAAGCAGCAACACAGCTTATTTAAGTCTTTAATAAACCAAGCAACAACAGCTTATTTAAGTCTTTAATAAACCAAGCAGCAACAGCTTATTTAAGTCTTTAATAAACCAAGCAGCAACACAGCTTATTTAGGTCTTTAATAAACCAAGCAACAAACAGCTTATTTAAGTCTTTAATAAACCAAGCAGCAACAGCTTATTTAAGTCTTTAATAAACCAAGCAGCAACAACAGCTTATTTAAGTCTTTAATAAACCAAGCAACAACAGCTTATTTAAGTCTTATATTTGAATGAGGCGTTAGTGTTACCTCTCCGTATCTTGCTGTTCTTTTTCTGGCCGCCTTGCTCGGCCACAGCTGTTGGTATGGCAACCTCACCTACACACCACACCACAACAGAGAGAGGAAGTGAGGGAGTCGGCAGAGTGAACCTGGGACCTGGCATCACCAGCTATAGAAACACAACCACTAGAACAGACAGATGGCATCACCATGTATAGAAACACAACCACTAGAACAGACAGATGGTATCACCAGGTATAGAAACACAACCACTAGAACAGACAGATGGCATCACCAGGTATAGAAACACAACCACTAGAACAGACAGATGGCATCACCAGGTATAGAAACACAACCACTAGAACAGACAGATGGCATCACCAGGTATAGAAACACAACCACTAGAACAGACAGATGGCATCACCATGTATAGAAACACAACCACTAGAACAGACAGATGGCATCACCAGGTATAGAAACACAACCACTAGAACAGACAGATGGCATCACCATGTATAGAAACACATCCACTAGAACAGACAGATGGCATCACCATGTATAGAAACACAACCACTAGAACAGACAGATGGCATCACCAGGTATAGAAACACAACCACTAGAACAGACAGGTGGCATCACCAGGTATAGAAACACAACCACTAGAACAGACAGATGGCATCACCAGGTATAGAAACACAACCACTAGAACAGACAGATGACATCACCATGTATAGAAACACAACCACTAGAACAGACAGATGGTATCACCAGGTATAGAAACACAACCACTAGAACAGACAGATGGCATCACCAGGTATAGAAACACAACCACTAGAACAGACAGATGGCATCACCATGTATAGAAACACAACCACTAGAACAGACAGATGGCATCACCAGGTATAGAAACACAACCACTAGAACAGACAGATGGCATCACCAGGCATAGAAACACAACCACTAGAACAGACAGATGGTATCACCATGTATAGAAACACAACCACTAGAACAGACAGATGGCATCACCATGTATAGAAACACAACCACTAGAACAGACAGATGGCATCACCAGGTATAGAAACACAACCACTAGAACAGACAGATGGCATCACCATGTATAGAAACACAACCACTAGAACAGACAGATGGCATCACCATGTATAGAAACACAACCACTAGAACAGACAGGTGGCATCACCAGGTATAGAAACACAACCACTAGAACAGACAGATGGCATCACCATGTATAGAAACACAACCACTAGAACAGACAGATGGCATCACCATGTATAGAAACACAACCACTAGAACAGACAGGTGGCATCACCATGTATAGAAACACAACCACTAGAACAGACAGATGGCATCACCATGTATAGAAACACAACCACTAGAACAGACAGATGGCATCACCATGTATAGAAACACAACCACTAGAACAGACAGATGGCATCACCATGTATAGAAACACAACCACTAGAACAGACAGGTGGCATCACCATGTATAGAAACACAACCACTAGAACAGACAGATGGCATCACCATGTATATAAACACAACCACTAGAACAGACAGATGGCATCACCATGTATAGAAACACAACCACTAGAACAGACAGATGGCATCACCAGGTATAGAAACACAACCACTAGAACAGACAGATGGCATCACCATGTATAGAAACACAACCACTAGAACAGACAGATGGCATCACCAGGTATAGAAACACAACCACTAGAACAGACAGGTGGCATCACCATGTATAGAAACACAACCACTAGAACAGACAGATGGCATCACCATGTATAGAAACACAACCACTAGAACAGACAGGTGGCATCACCATGTATAGAAACACAACCACTAGAACAGACAGATGGCATCACCATGTATAGAAACACAACCACTAGAACAGACAGGTGGCATCACCATGTATAGAAACACAACCACTAGAACAGACAGATGGCATCACCAGGTATAGAAACACAACCACTAGAACAGACAGGTGGCATCACCGGGTATAGAAACACAACCACTAGAACAGACAGATGGCATCACCAGGTATAGAAACACAACCACTAGAACAGACAGATGGCATCACCATGTATAGAAACACAACCACTAGAACAGACAGATGGCATCACCAGGTATAGAAACACAACCACTAGAACAGACAGATGGCATCACCAGGTATAGAAACACAACCACTAGAACAGACAGATGGCATCACCATGTATAGAAACACAACCACTAGAACAGACAGATGGCATCACCAGGTATAGAAACACAACCACTAGAACAGACAGATGGCATCACCAGGTATAGAAACACAACCACTAGAACAGACAGATGGCATCACCATGTATAGAAACACAACCACTAGAACAGACAGATGGCATCACCAGGTATAGAAACACAACCACTAGAACAGACAGATGGCATCACCAGGTATAGAAACACAACCACTAGAACAGACAGATGGCATCACCATGTATAGAAACACAACCACTAGAACAGACAGATGGCATCACCATGTATAGAAACACAACCACTAGAACAGACAGATGGCATCACCAGGTATAGAAACACAACCACTAGAACAGACAGATGGCATCACCATGTATAGAAACACAACCACTAGAACAGACAGATGGCATCACCAGGTATAGAAACACAACCATTAGAACAGACAGATGGCATCACCAGGTATAGAAACACAACCACTAGAACAGACAGATGGCATCACCATGTATAGAAACACAACCACTAGAACAGACAGATGGCATCACCATGTATAGAAACACAACCACTAGAACAGACAGGTGGCATCACCATGTATAGAAACACAACCACTAGAACAGACAGGTGGCATCATAGAAACACAACCACTAGAACAGACAGATGGCATCACCAGGTATAGAAACACAACCACTAGAACAGACAGATGGCATCACCAGGTATAGAAACACAACCACTAGAACAGACAGATGGCATCACCATGTATAGAAACACAACCACTAGAACAGACAGATGGCATCACCATGTATAGAAACACAACCACTAGAACAGACAGATGGCATCACCAGGTATAGAAACACAACCACTAGAACAGACAGATGGCATCACCAGGTATAGAAACACAACCACTAGAACAGACAGATGGCATCACCAGGTATAGAAACACAACCACTAGAACAGACAGATGGCATCACCATGTATAGAAACACATCCCCTAGAACAGACAGATGGCATCACCATGTATAGAAACACAACCACTAGAACAGACAGATGGCATCACCATGTATAGAAACACAACCACTAGAACAGACAGATGGCATCACCATGTATAGAAACACAACCACTAGAACAAACAGATGGCATCACAATGTATAGAAACACAACCACTAGAACAGACAGATGGCATCACCAGGTATAGAAACACAACCACTAGAACAGACAGATGGCATCACCATGTATAGAAACACAACCACTAGAACAGACAGATGGCATCACCAGGTATAGAAACACAACCACTAGAACAGACAGGTGGCATCACCATGTATAGAAACACAACCACTAGAACAGACAGATGGCATCACCATGTATAGAAACACAACCACTAGAACAGACAGATGGCATCACCAGGTATAGAAACACAACCACTAGAACAGACAGATGGCATCACCATGTATAGAAACACAACCACTAGAACAGACAGATGGCATCACCAGGTATAGAAACACAACCACTAGAACAGACAGATGGTATCACCATGTATAGAAACACAACCACTAGAACAGACAGATGGCATCACCAGGTATATAAACACAACCACTAGAACAGACAGATGGTATCACCATGTATAGAAACACAACCACTAGAACAGACAGATGGCATCACCATGTATAGAAACACAACCACTAGAACAGACAGATGGCATCACCATGTATAGAAACACAACGACTAGAACAGACAGATGGCATCACCAGGTATAGAAACACAACCACTAGAACAGACAGGTGGCATCACCAGGTATAGAAACACAACCACTAGAACAGACAGATGGCATCACCATGTATAGAAACACAACCACTAGAACAGACAGATGGCATCACCATGTATAGAAACACAACCACTAGAACAGACAGATGGCATCACCAGGTATAGAAACACAACCACTAGAACAGACAGGTGGCATCACCATGTATAGAAACACATCCCCTAGAACAGACAGATGGCATCACCATGTATAGAAACACAACCACTAGAACAGACAGATGGCATCACCATGTATAGAAACACAACCACTAGAACAGACAGATGGCATCACCATGTATAGAAACACAACCACTAGAACAGACAGATGGCATCACCATGTATAGAAACACAACCACTAGAACAGACAGGTGGCATCACCATGTATAGAAACACAACCACTAGAACAGACAGATGGCATCACCATGTATAGAAACACAACCACTAGAACAGACAGATGGTATCACCATGTATAGAAACACAACCACTAGAACAGACAGATGGCATCACCATGTATAGAAACACAACCACTAGAACAGACAGATGGCATCACCAGGTATAGAAACACAACCACTAGAACAGACAGGTGGCATCACCACTTATAGAAACACAACCACTAGAACAGACAGATGGCATCACCAGCTATAGAAACACAACCACTAGAACAGACAGATGGCATCACCAGTTATAGAAACACAACCACTAGAACAGACAGGTGGCATCACTAGTTATAGAAACACAACCACTAGAACAGACAGATGGCATCACCGGGTATAGAAACACAACCACTAGAACAGACAGGTGGCATCACCAGGTATAGAAACACAACCACTAGAACAGACAGATGGCATCACCGGGTATAGAAACACAACCACTAGAACAGACAGATGGCATCACCGGGTATAGAAACACAACCACTAGAACAGACAGGTGGCATCACCAAGTATAGAAACACAACCACTAGAACAGACAGGTGGCATCACCAGTTATAGAAACACAACCACTAGAACAGACAGATGGCATCACCATGTATAGAAACACAACCACTAGAACAGACAGATGGCATCACCAAGTATAGAAACACAACCACTAGAACAGACAGGTGGCATCACCAGGTATAGAAACACAACCACTAGAACAGACAGATGGCATCACCAGGTATAGAAACACAACCACTAGAACAGACAGATGGCATCACCAGGTATAGAAACACAACCACTAGAACAGACAGATGGCATCACCAGGTATAGAAACACAACCACTAGAACAGACAGATGGCATCACCAGGTATAGAAACACAACCAGTAGAACAGACAGATGGCATCACCATGTATAGAAACACAACCACTAGAACAGACAGATGGCATCACCAGGTATAGAAACACAACCACTAGAACAGACAGATGGCATCACCAGTTATAGAAACACAACCACTAGAACAGACAGGTGGCATCACTAGTTATAGAAACACAACCACTAGAACAGACAGATGGCATCACCGGGTATAGAAACACAACCACTAGAACAGACAGGTGGCATCACCAGGTATAGAAACACAACCACTAGAACAGACAGATGGCATCACCGGGTATAGAAACACAACCACTAGAACAGACAGGTGGCATCACCAAGTATAGAAACACAACCACTAGAACAGACAGGTGGCATCACCAGGTATAGAAACACAACCACTAGAACAGACAGATGGCATCACCATGTATAGAAACACAACCACTAGAACAGACAGATGGCATCACCAGGTATAGAAACACAACCACTAGAACAGACAGATGGCATCACCATGTATAGAAACACAACCACTAGAACAGACAGATGGCATCACCATGTATAGAAACACAACCACTAGAACAGACAGATGGCATCACCATGTATAGAAACACAACCACTAGAACAGACAGATGGCATCACCAGGTATAGAAACACAACCACTAGAACAGACAGATGGCATCACCAGGTATAGAAACACAACCACTAGAACAGACAGATGGCATCACCAGGTATAGAAACACAACCAGTAGAACAGACAGATGGCATCACCAGGTATAGAAACACAACCACTAGAACAGACAGATGGCATCACCAGGTATAGAAACACAACGACTAGAAGCGCCTGTTCTAAACGCCTTACCACTCTGTATGTCCACATCACAGTCCAGGTCAAACCACGAATCTGAAACAGGAGACAGTTGCTTTGAGTCAGTCAGCCAGTCACAGTGTGTGTGTGTGTGTGTGTGTGTGTGTGTGTGTGTGTGTGTGTGTGTGTGTGTGTGTGTGTGTGTGTGTGTGTGTGTGTGTGTGTGTGTGTATAACTTACCATTGAACTCCAAATGAAAATCCAAATGTTCCAGAATGGCATCCAGGTCTAATTCTGAGAAACAGGAAGGAAACAGTCAAACAGCCAATCAACTCCATTAAACAGCCAATCACCTTCCCTGGCTCTGACTAAACAGCCAATCACCTCCCTGGCTCTGACTAAACAGCCAAACACCTTACCCGGCTCTGACTAAACAGCCAATCACCTTACCCGGCTGTGACCAAACAGCCAATCACCTTACCCGGCTGTGACTAAACAGCCAATCACCTTCCCCGGCTGTGACCAAACAGCCAATCACCTTACCCGGCTGTGCCTCACCAGGAAGTGAAGTAACATTGTATCAACAACTATACCCGTTCCCTCAAGACACGTTTCCAAGGTGAGCGGGACAATTATGAGTTGGAGTTACGTCGGGATGCCACCGGGCCGCAAGCAAAGTCAGGAGAAGATGAATATTGGGACAGGGACACAGAAAGGTGGATTTCTGAGGAGGTATGGAGGGAGAAGAGGAACAAGATGAATATTGGGACAGGGCCACAGAAAGGTGGATTTCTGAGGAGGAAGAGGAAGATGATGAATATTGGGACAGGGACAAAGAAAGGTGGATTTCTGAGGAGGAAGAGGAAGATGATGAATATTGGGACAGGGACACAGAAAGGTGGATTTCTGAGGAGGAATGGAGGAGGAAGAGGAACAAGATGAATATTGGGACAGGGACACAGAAAGGTGGATTTCTGAGGAGGAAGAGGAATATGATTAATATTGGGACAGGGACACAGAAAGATGGATTTCTGAGGAGGAATGGAGGAGGAAGAGGAACAAGATTAATATTGGGACAGGGACACAGAAAGGTGGATTTCTGAGGAGGAAGAGGAAGATGATGAATATTGGGACAGGGACACAGAAAGGTGGATTTCTGAGGAGGAAGAGGAACAAGATGAATATTGGGACAGGGACACAGAAAGGTCGATTTCTGAGGAGGAACGGAGGAGGAAGAGGAAGATGATGACGAAGACAATGAGGATTTGGATTTTTTCAGGAATGGATGGATCTAAAAAATGGACAATGGGGTGTGGAAGAAGATCGGTGTCAAGTGCTGAGAGGATCCCTGTGAGTAGTAGATCTGTGCCAGCGCGGAGGGATCGGCCAACGACTGATAATATGCTTCAGTAAAGGTTTGGCTTCTTAACGTTCACAGCGATGGTTATATAATAATTAAAAATAATTGGTCATTTAGCAGACGCTCTTATCCAGAGCGACTTACAGGAGCAATTAGGGTTAAGTGCCTTGCTCAAGGGCACATCGACAGATTTTTCACCTAGTCGGCTCGGGGATTAGAACCAGCGACCTTTCGGTTACTGGCACAACGCTCTTAACCACTAAGCTACCAAACCGTACCACAGAAACGGAACGTAAATCACAGAAAATAGACGTTGTGGTGGCAGCTGCAAGAGAAGTATTTGGGGGGGGGGGGGGGGGGGGTACGAGATTTGACTTCAGAAGAGTTCCAGGGTGTGTTGAGTGGTGGTGTCCTGTCCTCCCAGGCCGTTGCCATGGTGCAGGAGCAGATAGGGTCAAAGTAGTGGAATGGGGTAGTGGGTTTTAATGAGTGTAGGGTTCGTTGGAAGAGAGGGGGGGGGGGTTGTATTTAATTGAATGTTTTTTTTTCCCTTTTCACATGTTGTATCACAGTATAATGGATTTATATATATTATATATATATGGGTATATATATATCACAGTCCAGCTGGGGGCAGTAATGCAACATATTGAATGCCAACCGCCGTTAAACCACAAAGATGAAGAAGACGACAGGTTGTTGGCAACGTGGACTGGCAAACGAGGAAATGATCTTCGGGTTGGGTTTTAGATGCGTGTTTTTCACAGTGTGTGTTTTCACAGAGCTAGCCCAAGGCTCAAAGGCTATTATGCGGAACTGACGTCCTCTAATGAATAACGTCCTGACATCAACTCTATGTCCTTTGTAGAACAGCGTTTGGGTGCAGTGGAGGCTGCTGTGGAGGGGGGAGAGAACGGCTCATAATAATGTCCGGGAACGGAGCAAATGGAATGGCATCGAAACACCTGGAAACCACGGAAACCACGCGTTTGATGTATTTGATACCAATTCCACTGATTCCGCTCCAGCCATTACCACGAGCCCCGTCCTCCCCAAATTAAGGCGCCACCAACCTCCAGTGGTTCTGGGTCCAGGGTTTAACATTGCGTGTGGGTGGGTGTGATATCCACGGGGAACTAAAGGTTTCTGAACATTGCCCTTTTGTAGAACGGTGTCATGGGTTACCTGAGCCCTGCACTACCAAGGTAACTTTGGTCAACTCTGAGTTAACTTCAGCATAACCGGTACCATGAAAGTGGGTCACCTTTTAGCCAGGTAAATGTCTATGGCAACGAATCATTCAGAACTAACCTGCTCTGGGGCAGGTTAACAGGGCTGACTCCATTAATCTATCATTATAATTATTATAATCTATTATTATTATTAATTATTTATTTATCATTTATATTATTTATGAATGAAATGTCTGTAACGCAAGCTGAGGACCAATGAAATCAGATCCCCCCCCACCGCTCGCAAAGATTGTGATATTCTATTAATCAAATGTTTTTTTTTTTGTGTTTAAAAATGAGTCATTTTTTAAAAATACCTATCACATTACACATTAATAATGACAGAATGAAACTTCACGCACAGTAAAACTTTTGTATGATTTTAATCAAATAATTGTATTGTTAGGAGTGGGTAAAAAAGAAGGTGGTTGCGCATTAATAAGTGCATTAACGATAACTAATACAATAAAGACGGCACTTCTAAAAGCCTATTTCACACTATAGCCTGCTGAATTTGCAAGATAATATATATATATATATATTTTTTTCTTTTCTTCTGCCACACATGAAAATGTGGATTTGATGTTTCAGCATTGTCTCAATGGAGAGTTCGGCGTTCTTCTAGCCACTGCTAGAGTTAGGGGCAGGCGAACGAGCAAAATATCCACCGTCGTAATACGCGCCTGAGCTGGAAAAGTGAAGCTAACTGACGCTGGCTAGCTTTAGAAAACCCCTGAGTAGATCTAGCTTGCGTCGTAGTACACCCTTGTGTTTTAGATCACTGTCACACCCTGGCTCTGGGGACTCTATATGTTGAGCCAGGGTGTGTATATTCTATGTTTTGTATTTCTGTGTTGGCCAGGGTGGTTCCCAATCAGAGGCAACGAGTGTCAGCTGTTGCTGGTTGTCTCTGATTGGGAGCCATATTTATAGAGGCTGTTTTCCCACAATAGTTGTGGGATCTTGTTCCAGTTGGTTTTGTGTTTGTACCGTTGGACTTCACGTATCGTTTGTTGTTTTGTTTATTTGTGTGTCCACTTAATAAAATAAGATGTATGAATCTCACGCTGCGCCTTGGTCTACTCACTCTAACGATCGTGACAATCGCGTCTACCACAGAGGTAGCATTTGCATGTGGAACTAACATGCCCTGATATCAAACTGTATCTTTGTAGAACAGTGTTAGTGCAGGGTTACCAGTTTTAGATCTCGTCTACCACAGAGGTAGCGTTTGCATGTGGAACTAACATGCCCTGATATCAACTAAACTCAGCAAAATAAAGAAACGTCCTCTCACTGTCAACTGCGTATATTTTCAGCAAACTTAACATGTGTAAATATTTGTATGAACATAACAAGATTCAACAACTGAGACATAAACTGAACAAGTTCCACAGACATGTGACTAACAGAAATGGAATAATGTGTCCCTGAACAAAGGGGGGGGGGTCAAAATCAAAAGTAACAGTCAGTATCTGGTGTGGCCACCAGCTGCATTAAGTACTGCAGTGCATCTCCTCCTCATGGACTGCACCAGATTTGCCAGTTCTTGCTGTGAGATGTTACCCCACTCTTCCACCAAGGCACCTGCAAGTTCCCGGACATTTCTGGGGGGAATGGCCCTAACCCTCACCCTCCGATCCAACAGGTCCCAGACGTGCTCAATGGGATTGAGATCCTGGCTCTTCACTGGCCATGGCAGAGCACGGACATTCCTGTCTTGCAGGAAATCACGCACAGGATGTCAGGATGAGCCTGCAGGAAGGGTACCACATGAGGGAGGAGGATGTCTTCCCTGTAACGCACAGCGTTGAGATTGCCTGCAATGACAACAAGCTCAGTCCGATGATGCTGTGACACACCGCCCCAGACCATGACGGACGCTCCACCTCCAAATTGAACCCGCTCCAGAGTACAGGCCTCGGTGTAACGCTCATTCCTTCGACGATAAACACGAATCCGACCATCACCCCTGGTGAGAGAAAACCGCGACGGTGGGTTTGTGCCCATAGGCGACGTTGTTGCCGGTGATGTCTGGTGAGGACCTGCCTTACAACAGGCCTACAAGCCCTCAGTCCAGCCTCTCTCAGCCTATTGCGGACAGTCTGAGTACTGATGGAGGGATTGTGCGTTCCTGGTGTAACTCGGGCAGTTGTTGTTGCCATCCTGTACCTGTCCCGCAGGTGTGATGTTCGGATGTACCGATCCTGTGCAGGTGTTGTTACATGTGGTCTGCCACTGCGAGGACGATCAGCTGTCCGTCCTGTCTCCCTGTAGCGCTGTTTTAGGCGTCTCACAGTACGGACATTGCAATTTATTGCCCTGGCCACATCTGCAGTCCTCATGCCTCCTTGCAGCATGCCTAAGGCACGTTCACGCAGATGAGCAGGGCATCTTTCTTTTGGTGTTTTTCAGAGTCAGTAGAAAGGCCTCTTTAGTGTCCTAAGTTTTCATAACTGTGACCTTAATTGCCTACCGTCTGTAAGCTGTTAGTGTCTTAACAACTGTTCCACAGGTGCATGTTCATTAATTGTTTATGGTTCATTGAACAAGCATGGGAAACAGTGTGTTTAAACCCTTCACAATGAAGATCTGTGAAGTGATTTTGATTTTTATCTTTGAAAGACAGGGTCCTGAAAAAGGGAAGTTTCTTTTTTTTGTTGAGTTTATATCTTTGTTGAACAGTGTTAGTGTTTGACCCAAACACAAAGAGGTACCATTTGCATGTGGAACTAACCTTCCCTGATATCAACTGTATATTTGTAGAACAGTGTTACTGTATATTTGTAGAACAGTGTTACTGTATATTTGTAGAACAGTGTTACTGTATATTCGTAGAACAGTGTTACTGTATATTCGTAGAACAGTGTTAGTGCAGGGTTACTGTATATTTGTAGAACAGTGTTACTGTATATTTGTAGAACAGTGTTACTGTATATTCGTAGAACAGGGTTAGTGCAGGGTTACTGTATATTTGTAGAACAGTGTTACTGTATATTTGTAGAACAGAGTTACTGTATATTTGTAGAACAGTGTTAGTGCAGGGTTACTGTATATTCGTAGAACAGGGTTAGTGCAGGGTTACTGTATATTCGTAGAACAGGGTTAGTGCAGGGTTACTGTATATTTGTAGAACAGTGTTAGTGCAGGGTTACTGTATATTCGTAGAACAGGGTTAGTGCAGGGTTACTGTATATTCGTAGAACAGGGTTAGTGCAGGGTTACTGTATATTCGTAGAACAGGGTTAGTGCAGGGTTACTGTATATTCGTAGAACAGGGTTAGTGCAGGGTTACTGTATATTTGCAGAACAGCGTTAGTGCAGGGTTACCTGACAGAATGTCTTCAACCTCAGGCGGAGGGGAGAGGGGCAGATCCATGATATCAACATCCTGCATCCTGGCACCTGCTGACCAAACAACACTGGATCACCATATTGTAGTGAATTCAGGGAGGGGGGGGGGGGGGTAGCCCTGACCGGGAGTCGAACCCGGGTCCAGCGACTGTCAACCCAACAATTTAGCCATTAGAGAACCGGACCTCTCAATAAAGGTGTCTAGGTGTTGGGTTATGGTCTCTACGCTAGCATCAGGACCTCTCAATAAGGTGTCTAGGTGTTGGGTTATGGTCTCTACGCCAGCATCAGGACCTCTCAATAAGGTGTTGGGTTACGGTCTCTACGCCAGCATCAGGACCTCTCAATAAGGTGTCTAGGTGTTGGGTTACGGTCTCTACGCCAGCATCAGGACCTCTCAATAAGGTGTCTAGGTGTTGGGTTACGGTCTCTACGCCAGCATCAGGCAGGACCTCTCAATAAGGTGTCTAGGTGTTGGGTTACGGTCTCTACGCCAGCATCAGGACCTCTCAATAAGGTGTCTAGGTGTTGGGTTACGGTCTCTACGCTAGCATCAGGACCTCTCAATAAGGTGTTGGGTTACGGTCTCTACGCTAGCATCAGGACCTCTCAATAAGGTGTCTAGGTGTTGGGTTACGGTCTCTACGCCAGCATCAGGACCTCTCAATAAGGTGTCTAGGTGTTGGGTTACGGTCTCTACGCTAGCATCAGGACCTCTCAATAAGGTGTTGGGTTACGGTCTCTACGCTAGCATCAGGACCTCTCAATAAGGTGTCTAGGTGTATATAATAAACATAATGTCTCTGGTCCAAAGCTGAAACAGACAGACTGGTGTTCCAGTTGTTGATTGCCTCTATAAGTAGGCTATGGGCTGCAGCAGAGACCCTGGCAGACAGTCAGAGGAGCCTGATTGTAACCACATCCATATATTAAAACAGATCAGAAAATAAATGATGTCCTAAATAAACAGACGAAATAATGACCGCCATGTTTTTTTTTTTTTTTTTTCAGGCGTCACAGTTGTATTGCTCTGTGAAACACGTGGGAGGGGGAGGGGGGGGGGGGGGGACGACGACGACGACATGATACAAGTTCTATAATAAAATAATAAATGCCTGATAAGCTGCCAAACACACAACATGAAACATTACAGAAGATAAGATTGCAACACAGTATTATTCCATCTGAACAACAAGAGCGGAGATAACAACTCTACCGGACCAAAGAAGACACCAGGCGACTCACTTTCTCTCTTTTTGCTGCACTGGAATCCCCCCAGAACATCAAATCACACGCCCCACGCAATCATTCACACGCAGGGTACGGCGAAATAAAATTGATTTACAAATATAAATATAAAAACAGTAAACTCCGAAATAAATAGTGCATAACAAGTTATATTTATTGTCTTTTCAATAAAATATATGGGTTTTATTTCACTTTATTTCAGTGGTTATGTTATCAGTGCAAGTGCGTTGGGAGACAGACAACCTCCATGCAATTCAACTATACTGAGGAGACCGGCTGGAAAAATACCCCCTAAAATCTCACCTGTCAGGCGGGCGTCGAGTGTCTCCATCCCTCGGTAAACGCAACAGCTTCCTATATGATCCGTGTCCTATGCATTAAAAGCTGCAGCTGTCCTTGAACGACCCGTGCACTTTGTGGCCGTTTGTTGCGCGTCTGAAAGTTAAGAGATGCCGCGTCGCTCGCAAGACTTCCATTTACTTTTACTTTCGATAGGAGTGTCGTTGTGTGCGTTCACTTGTTTCTACAAACTAAAGACAGGTACTTTCATCACTCCAGTTCATTCAGATCAGACCAGGCCAGGGGTGTATTGATTGACTGATTGATTGATTGATTGTTTGTATGGCTAAAATCTGATAAATCAGAGACTAATGTTGACCTGGGAACCCAATAATACCAGACTAACTATTGGTAATGTGAAGAGATCATTGCAGGGGGACATTATTTTTGTTTTAAACACTCCAAACAGCCTACCGGACCCCCTCGGAGGCGTCCGCATGGTACTGAACCACACCATTGCCTGGTTTTTATATCACATTCCAGTGAAAGTTTGCTCCCTGGATAATTGTGTTGCAGGGAAAAGCAGGACAAAGAAAGGATATGACAGAGGACCCTCCAGGACCAGAGGATCTGAGGATACCGCTCCCTCCCTCCTCCCTCTGTCCCTCCTCCCTCTCCTCCCTCTGTCCCTCTGTCCCTCCCCTCCTCCCTCTCTCCTCCCTCTGTCCCTCTGTCCCTCTCCCTCCTCCCTCTCCCTCTGTCCCTCTCCCTCTCCCTCTGTCCCTCTCCCTCTGTCCCTCTCCCCTCTCCCTCTGTCCCTCTCCCTCTGTCCCTCTCCCTCTCCCTCTCCCTCTCCCTCTCCTCCTCTCCCTCGTCCCTCTCCCTCTCCCTCCTCCCTCTGTCCCTCTCCCTCCTCCCTCTGTCCCTCTCCCTCTGTCCCTCTCCTCTCCTCCCTCTGTCCCTCCCTCCTCCCTCTGTCCCTCTCCTCCCTCTCCCTCTCCCTCTGTCCCTCTCCCTCCTCCCTCTTCCCTCTCCTCTCTCTCCTCCTTGTCCCTCTCCCTCCTCCCTCTGTCCCTCTCTCCCTCCTCCCTGTCCTCTCCCTCCTCCCCTCATGTCCCTCCTCCCTCGTCCCCCCTCTCCCTCTCCCTCCTCCCTCATGTCTCCTCCTCCCTCGTCCCTCTGTTCCCCTCCCTCCATCCCTCTGTCCCTCTCCCTCTCCCCTCCCTCTCCTTGTCCCTCTCCCTCCTCCCTCTGTCCTCTCCCTCCTCCCTCTGTCCTCTCCCCCTCCGTCCCTCTCCCTCCTCCTCTGTCACTCCTCCCTCCCTCTGTCCCTCTCCCTCCTCCCTCTGTCCCTCTCCCTCCTCCCTCTGTCCCTCTCCCCTCCTCCCTTTGTCCCTCTCCCTCCTCCCTATGTCCCTCCTCCCCCTGTCCCTCTCCCTCCTCCCTATGTCCCTCCTCCCTCTGTCCCTCTCCCTCCCCCTCCTCCCTCTGTCCCTCTCCCTCCTCCCTATGTCCCTCCTCCCGATGTCCCTCCTCCCTCCGTCCTCTCCTCCTCCCTCTGTCCCTCCTCCCTCCTCCCTCTGTCCCTCTCCCTCCTCCCTTTGTCCCTCTCCCTCCTCCCTATGTCCCTCCCTCCCCCTGTCCCTCTCCCTCCTCCCTCTGTCCCTCTCCCTCCTCCCTCCTCCCTCTGTCCCTCTCCCTCCTCCCTCTCCCTCTCCTCTGTCCCTCTCCCTCCTCCCTCTGTCCCTCTCCCTCCTCCCTCCTCCCTCTGTCCCTCTCCTCCCTCCCTCCCCTCTGTCCCTCTCCCTCCTCCCTCTGTCCCTCTCCCTCCTCCCTCTGTCCCTCTCCCTCTCTCCCTCTCTCCCTCTCTCTCTCCCTCTGTTTTTAGAGGAGGAAATACAGGGAGTTTGGTATCAGTCTAGCTGGGAAAGTACCGGCAATACCAACCTGTCTATCTGTGTGGTAGGCAGGTACTACCACACCAGTCTGATAGGCACACTCGTAGACACATGCACGCAGGTACAACATAAACAGACACGCCCCCCCCCATTCCTTTCTCTGGCATTGTAGCTAGCATGGTAATGCCAGTTTGATCACCGTACCTTTTTCTCAGAAATGCCACCACACCCCACCTCATTCCTTTCTCTGGCATTGTAGCTAGCATGGTAATACCAGTTGGATCACCAGTCACCCGACGTAGTTTCCTCAAACGAATGCCATACACACACACAAACACACATAGCGTACAGCCTGGTTCACCTGCCTCACACCTAAAGCCCATTCTGATGGGAAGCTTCTATGGACCACCAAGTGCTAACAGTCAGTATCTGGATAACATGTGTGAAACGCTTGATAATGTATGTGATAGCAACAGAGAAGCATATATTTCTGGGTGATTTAAATATTGACTGCCTCTCATCAAGCTGTCAACCCGGTTCAGGTTGTCAGTCAACCTACCAGGGTATTTACAAACAGCACAGGAATGATTTCATCAACATGTATTGATCACATCTTTACTAATGCTGCAGAAATTTGCTTTTACATTTACATTTTAGTCATTTAGCAGACGCTCTTATCCAGAGCGACTTACAGTTAGTGAGTGCATACATTATTTTTATTTTTTTCATACTGGCCCCCCGTGGGAATCAAACCCACAACCCTGGCGTTGCAAACGCCATGCTCTACCAACTGAGCTACATCCCTGCCGGCCATTCCCTCCCGTACCCTGGACGACACTGGGCCAATTGTGCGCCGTCCCCATGGGGTCTCCCGGTCGCGGCCGGTTATGACAGAGCCTGGATTCGAACCAGGATCTCTAGTGGCACAGCCTTAGACCACTGCGCCATCGGATGTAGTGATCACAATATAGTAGCCATATCTAGGAAAACCAAAGCTCCAAAGGCTGGGCCTAATATAGTGTATAAGAGGTCATACAATACGTTTAGTAGAGATTCCTATGTTGTTGATGTAAAGAATAAACATTCTTACCACCACTTGGACTGAGATACAGGGCTATGAAAAAGTATTTGCCCCCTTTCTAATTTTCTCTACTTCTGCATATTTGTGATACTGAATGTTATCAGATCTTCAACCAAAACCTAATATTAGATAAAGGGAACATAAGTGAACCAATAACACAACAATTACATATTTATTTCATTAACAAAGTCATGCAACACCCAATTCCCCTGTGTGAAAAAAGTAATTGCCCCTGTCGTATATGATGAATGGTGGTCATTATTGCCGTCAACAAAAAGTTTGCTATGCTGCATCGTGTTAGAGGCTTTTATTAAAATCCCGAATTTACAGCATAGATACAGACTCGCGATGTCCGGAGAACGGCTCCCAGATTGCTATGGCCGTTCTGCCGTCTCATCGTTTACCCCCTATTTATAAACAATGCAAAAAGAGGAGTGACTCCCCTCTTCTGGCCAATCACCAGTCTCCCCTGGGGCATCACCCTCCCAACGCTACATTTGAACTAAGATCATAAAACAACATTCTTTGTTCCTCCAAAACATTTAACAAAGGCATAATCTTCAGATACGATACCCCCTTACACTCAATAACTGGTTGTGCCACCTTTAGCTGCAATGACTCCAACCAAATGCTTCCTGTAGTTGTTGATCAGTCTCTCACGTCGCTGTGGAGGAATTTTGGCCCGCTCTTCCATGCAGAACTGCTTTAACTCAGCGACATTTGTGGGTTTTCAAGCATGAACTGCTTGTTTCAAGTCTTGCCACAACATCTCAATTGGGATTAGGTCTGGACTTTGACTAGGCCATTCCAAAACTTCCAATTTGTTGCTTTTTTAGCAATTTTCATGTAGACTTGATTGTGTGTTTTGGATCATTGTCTTGCTGCATGACCCAGCTGCGCTTCAGCTTCAGCTCACAGACGGATGGTCTGACATTCTCCTGTAGAATTCCCTGATACAGAGCAGAATTCACGGTTCCTTCTATTAAGGCAAGTCGTCCAGGTCCCGAGGCAGCAAAGCATCCCCAAATGAAGAAATCATGTGACTAAACTAAACAAAAAATAAACTACACTATGAAACAAAAATAAATGATATAAAGAATGATAGTAAAAAAACTTTGGAGCACCTTCAATGACATTTTGGGGAAAAAGGCAAACTCAGCTCCATCATTCATTGAATCAGATCGCTCATTCATCACAAAAACCCACTGATATTGCCAACTACTTTAATGACTTTTTCCATTGGCAAGATTAGCAAACTTAGGCACGACATGCCAGCAACAAACGCTGACACTACACATCCGAGTATATCTGACCAAGTTGTACTTTTGAATTCCGTGAAGTGAGTGTGGAAGAGGTGGAAAAGAATATTGTTGTCCATCAACAATGACAAGCCACCGGGGTCTGACAACTTGGATGGAAATTTACTGAGGATGATAGTGGACGATATTGCTACCCCTATTTGCCATCTCTTCAATCTAAGCCTACTAGAAAGTGTGTGCCCTCAGGCCTGGAGGGAAGCAAAAGTCATTCCGCTACCCCAAGAATAGTAAAGCCCCCTTTACTGGCTCAAATAGCCGACCAAATCAGCCTGTTACCAACCCTTAGTAAACTTCAGGAAAAAATGGCGTTCGACCAGATACAATGCTATTTCACAGTAAACAAACTGACAACAGACTTTCAGCACGCTTATAGGGAAGGACATTCAACAAGCACAGCACTTACACAAATGACAAAAAATTCTACAGCTGCACCATCGAGAGCATCCTGACTGGTTGCATCACCGCCTGGTATGGCAACTGCTTGGCCTCCGACCGCAAGGCACTACAGAGGGTAGTGCGTACGGCCCAGTACATCACTGGGGCCAAGCTTCCTGCCATCCAGGACCTCTATACCAGGCGGTGTCAGAGGAAGGCCCTAAAAATTGTCAAAGACTCCAGCCACCCTAGTCATAGACTGTTCTCTCTGCTACCGCACGGCAAGCGGTACCGGAGTGCCAAGTCTAGGTCCAAAAGACTTCTCAACAGCTTCTACCCCCAAGCCATAAGACTCCTGAACAGCTAATCATGGCTACCCGGACTATTTGCACTGCCCCCCCACCCCATCCTTTTTACGCTGCTGCTACTCTGTTAATTATTTATGCATAGTCACTTTAACTCTACCCACATGTACATATTACCTCAACTAGCCGGTGCCCCCGCACATTGACTCTGCACCGGTACCCCCCTGTATATATAGCCTCCCTACTGTTACTTTATTTTACTTCTGCTCTTTTTTTTCTCAACACTTTTTTTGTTGTTGTTTTATTTTTACTTTTTTTGTTAAAAATAAATGCACTGTTGGTTAAGGGCTGTAAGTAAGCATTTCACTGTAATGTCTGCACCTGTTGTATTCGGCGCATGTGACCAATACAATTTGATTTGATTTGATTTGACTGATGATTGGCTGAGAGAAATTGATGATAAAATGATTGTGGGGGCTGTCTTGTTAGACTTCAGTGCAGCTTTTGACATTATCGATCATAGTCTGTTGCTGGAAAAACGTATGTGTTATGGCTTTAAACCCCCTGCTATATTGTGGATAAAGAGTTACTTGTCTAACAGAACACAGAGGGTGTTCTTTAATGGAAGCCTCTCCAACATAATCCAGGTAGAATCAGGAATCCCCCAGGGCAGCTGTCTAGGCCCCTTACATTTTAAAATCTTTACTAACGACATGCCACTGGCTTTGAGTTAAGCCAGTGTGTCTATGTATGCGGATGACTCAGCACTATACACGTTAGCTACTACAGCAACTGAAATGAGCAACTGAAATGACTGCAACACTTAACAAAGAGCTGCAGTTAGTTTCTGAATGGGTGGCAAGGAATAACTTAGTGCTAAATATTTCCAAAACTAAAAGCATTGTATTTGGGACAAATCATTCACTAAACCCTAAACCTCAACTACATCTCGTAATGAATAATGTGGAAATTGAGCAAGTTGAGGTGACTGAACTGCTTGGAGTAACCCTAGATTGTAAACTGTCATGGTCAAAACATATTGATACAACTGTAGCTAAGATGGGGAGAAGTCTGTCTATAATAAAGCGCTGCTCTGCCTTCTTAACAGCACTATCAACAAGGCAGGTCCTACAGGCCCTAGTTTTGTCACACCTGGACTACTGTTCAGTCGTGTGGTCAGGTGCCACAAAGAGGGACTTGCAGTTGGCTCAGAACAGGG